GAGCCAACATTTACATAAGCCAATCTCTGTCGTGCATAACTTCGACACGAGTTAATACCCTTCTTCTTAAGTACTATCGTTCCGTCCTAAATATACATACCTTATATTCTACAGAAATCGTAATTCACAACAGAACTTACAGTAAAAGTATGTAGGCACGTACATACATATGCATATCAGTACAAACTAGATAAGGCATTAATGCTAATCTAAATAATCGGAACTAATCTAGATCCTCTAGGAACATTTTTAAATACATATTGACATGAATAAATATGTACTTCCATAAGTAGCTTAACAAATGTTAAAATACAGTAATTTTTATCGTTATATTTCATATTCTATTGATAATTAGAAATTAGTGAGTTTCCTGCGAGACAAGAAAATTGGACGAACTTGGACGAATACTACTGCAACCTTTGTAATGATAATGCATATGCGACATTACCATTCCAAAGGGCAAGGGATTCAACTACATAGATTTAGTTTCATATGCAGAGTGTTATATATATGTATCAACTCGCCTCTCATGGTTAACCAAACACATGTAGGTGAAGTTTCAAGTTTGATCAGGCCCCATACCTCGGGTATTGCCTTATCCTTAACTTTTCTTTGATAGATAAGATAATCAACTCTCTTTCTATAGTTCTATCAAAGTAAAAGTTGAGGAAGGTCGAAATATGAGGTGTACGGTCAATCAAAAGGTAGGAAAACTAGGGATCCATGATATGATTCGACCGTATAGATGCGCTCGTGACCTTTTCTCAATTAACTTCTTGAAGAAGTGATAATCAGCTATCACTTTAGGTACCTGCAAGAAGTTTAGGTCAGAAAAGTCGATACCCAACGTATACGGTCCCTTAGAAGGTGAAAACTTAGAATTCGTGACGTATTAGGAACTCTGATCACGAAGGGGAGAAAAGGATAGGGAAGAGGAGCGTAGGGTGGTAACAGCGCTACAAGCACTGCTACGTCATAGATGTACATATATAGAGTAAGCAGAGAAGAGAAGAGAGGAGTGTAGTTTTAGACACGAGTGAAGAAGGTGACACGAGTGAAGGAATTTAGCAACCATCAAGGTTACATATTTTTAAGTTTCTTAAAGTAGAATAAGTTCCCGTCTAGATAAGGTGTAAAATATAAACTAGCCATAAGCTCTCCCACGTATTAAATAATACTAGCATTTCGGTAATCAATATTTTTCAGTCGGTATTGATATTAATAAATATATTTTATAATCTTTCTATAAAAGTGAACTTCTACTCAAATTATTCGCACAAAAGTCACAAAACAAGGGGCATCCACGAAAGCGGGTGTGGACAGGGACACGCAAACCCCATAGTTAAAACAGGGGGCGTTACACTACATAGGTTCTTTACAACATAAATGTGAGAAATTGAGAGTAAAACAAATTTAGGGGGAAATTAGGGAAGAATTAGAACCATTTAGAATAATAAACACAATAAACTATCATACGACCTTTCAATTTATATAATACTTACTTAGCAAGTATCCTTACGCTATTTTGCCCGTCATCGTTCATGCATATTATTCATTCCTACATTTACAGTTTCAAGGAAATGTCAGGAGCAAATTCCATGTGTTGTTCACCACATTCATAAAAAACTCTGCTTTATAGTCTTCCTCAATACGATAAAACGAAGTGGCCGACAACCCACATTCCAAGCCCCAAATCGGTATCGAGGAAACGATCATTCTCTCCTCGGATTTCCTGACCTTACCCAACTTCAAGTTACCGAGCCCATCCTTCCACTTGGTGTGAATGCTGATTAACGCCGGAAGTAGCAAATACACCACCACGGTAATTAATGCAGATATGTACGGTGCAACGATGTATACAACGAAGGGCATCTTACCGTACAATTTGAGAGTGACATAGTTAAACCCAGAGATCACGATGAGCCATCCCACGAAAATGATGGACAACATGGTCATGACAATTTTTCGCCCGATTATGGCCACAACTTGCATCTGTCTATAGTTCCAGGCTACATTGTTGAACTGAGATTTTGTCGCGTATGAGAGATTTGCAACTAGAATGGTGATCCTTTCCCAGGGCAGTAATATCGAGCTAATGACCGTCGTGGACATAATGGTCATTTGATTGCTTTCCAACAGTCCTACGGTCATGATGACGAAACTGGCTGTTTTCACGGTCCAACGTAGGATCCAATATTTTGCAAGGTACGCTCCGAAGTATTCCGTCATTATGAAACCATGAGGACAGAGGTCCGTAAGCGTTCCTACGGCAGATGCGTAAAAACAGAAAAAAATGATGAAGTAGTTTTGGAACTTCATGAACCGGACGAGGGTTTTGTAGCAGGGAACTTGTTTCCGAATGTGGGGGAGAGATTCTGTAATTTAAGTGGAGGGCATAAACCATGAATTTAATTTTAAATTTTTTTATGCACTCCTAGAAATCTATTAAAATAGCGCCAAGCTCTATTCATATAAGACTCTACTAAAGTTTCATTGATAAGTAATGCCTATAGAAATAGCTCAGTGTTAAAGGCTCGCCTTATCGGTAGCATATTTTTATGGGAGGATATAACTTTAATTGCACGCGGCCAACGGTGACAACTTCAATACCGAAAAATAAATACCTACATGACTTAAGATATACGATTTCTATTAATTGCCCAACTTTGTGGCTCCATCACTTTTGGGGTTACATCTTAAACTCCCTCTACCATTTTATATATTAGCGAGACCAAAATTACCAGTCATGAGCCGACGTTCCAACGCTATCATTTTTCCGACCAAGTCAGCAACTCCAGACGACCAATAAGCGAACATTACTGTTAGCAGGAATGCGGCAAGTATAAGAGTCGTGACTACCGGAAAGAAGGATACAATCCATGTACTGTTGCTCCCGTAGCGGTATTGTCGCCAGAGAAGAACACTCAGCAGTGTACCGTTCATCGCCATGACGACCACGCACACGTTGAACCAGTACATTTTACAGGATGTAAATGGTACCCGAATTAGTTGTTTGCTGGTGATGTTCCACGCCAGAGGACGTCGTTCGAAGTATGGTTTATCGAACGTGGAGGAATAGATGTCGAGAAATTGGGAAGGCAATAAGGCGAATTCTTTCTTCTTCTTTTTGTTTGGGGTTGTCATGGTGACGTTTGTAAATTTTTCTCTATTTTGGAATTTAACGTGATTCTTTCTTTCTAAATGAAAAAACACATTTTGAAACATGGAAATACATTTTGTTTAGACCACGGAACGGCTGAATTAAATAATTAAAGATTTGCAATCGAACTCGAGTTATAAAGGTGTCGATTTAAAATAGTGCTGTTTTTTGCAATTGCCAGTATATGTTCTGACTGATTAACTGATCATAAGATACTACACTCTTAAAAATAATGTTGCCCATTTGATATGTAAATGCACTCTCGATTCTATATTAACTAACTATACAAAATCCAGAATAACGTAAGGTTGATAAAGAATAACGTTTACTTTGGATATACATATAACAGTTTACATGCTTACATAATATAGCATTGAGAGTGATCCTATACTCTTCAAAATGGTAAGATTATTTGTAAGACTGTATTGTTTAATCAATTTCTCGTTACAAAGAGGAGACACCAGTAATTAAAAAAACCTACTCAATACAGTTTGGGAAATTAAAATATTTTCTGACTTGCAACGATCGTATTGTTCGACTACGAGTTTAATAATTATAAACTATATATGCACGTATGTATATACAAGAGATAAGAACTCACTATTCTTATATCACAATACGAATGGAACTACATACATATTTGCGGAATTTCAACCGACGAATCAGTATCCTTCCCCTTGCCTTAACTTGCTGTTTAATTAGATTATTTTATTTTTAAGAACTCTTACCAACTTTGTATGATAAGACCATAGCTATATTTAATTCAGTAGACGTGAAGCAACACATACATTTAGCAGACTTATACATACATATGTATGTACATATATGTAGTGTGTTCAAATATGTACATATAAAATGACTATTGATTTATCCGTATCTCTAAATACAGTCTGCTTAAAGGACTACTTAAAAAAATCCAGATAGGGCTGCTGTGTAATTGACTCTAGGATTTTAAACTTATTGATAATGTTTCTGTAGGTATGTCTGAAATCGAATTCCGAAATGAGAGAATTTCGTACCCGGGATTCAAATAGAACTTGGATTCGTACGAGGCACTAGGCCGCTTAACGCATTATCAAATTTCTCGTATTAACATTCCCATATGAAAAATCAATGATACACGCTTACCAATATTATTACACATACATAAAACTAATTTACTTTAAAATGAAATCACTAATGGCTATTATGTTGTCTGGCCCACATATGTATGCACATTACAAAAGTGGTGAAAATTAAGAACCTATGTGGATAGCATGATTGCACGAATAGATAAATATGTTTTTCATAGGGAACGACTTTGCTGACACAACTTAGGATGAGCATTTACATAATATTTAATACGGTTCACACCAAACCCACTGAAGTTGGGTTTAATTTGTCTGATTTTATGCAGCAAACAACTAAAGTGTTGAGCTCTTTACAACACAAACCAACGTATTAGTCATTAAATTGCACTGAACAAGGAATAACAAGTGAATAAATGACAACCAACAAAACAATGCATTGATAATTATTTTTGATCGCCTTGCTCTTATTATGGGAATACGGTGTAAAATGCATGGTATACATACATATGTACCTATGTATATTTACATTGGTAAAATTAATGTTAAAGTCAATAAATATTTAAACCAGGCAAATATATAAAGCTGTTTTTTACGCATTAACTTACATATGTAAAAAGTGCTGAAAATGCTGTCAATTTGATTGATTATAATAATAAACTTGTCGCGTTTTGATTTCCGTATCTCTACATTTCCCAATGATACAAATCAGGGTTGCCAATTTACCTGCACATCACTTTATTATCACATTATCATCATCCATTCGTGTGCAAGGGCATTTTTATGGGCAGGTTGTAAACAAATTGTGATAAACACAGTTGAAAAAGAGGAGTTGTAGAGATTCAGATCCCAGTAGGACACAATCAGCACACATAAAAATATTTTCGTATAAGTTGACCAAGGATATACTGGCGAAAATTTCTTCTCGTAACGGATTTTAACATGGTTTTATTTAAACCTCAATTTAATTTCAACTTGGAAGCAAGGGGCGTTTCGATCCTGAAGAAAACCAGGTTTTATAATGACGCCGTCCATAAAGCTATCGGGCTTCCGGACTTATGCAACAGGATTATTGACACGCCACAATTCCAAAGATTGCGGTGCCTGATGCAGTTAGGAATGTGTTACTTCGTATATCCGAGCGCATGTCATAAACGGTTCGAACACTGTATTGGGTATGTAGACTTAAAATATGTTTATAGCTTGATTGATCGGCGTTGGAGGACATATTTTTGAAATTGAGTTTATTGACAAGCTTTCGGCACATACAGATACCTTCATCAGGTCATAAATTGGGGACAAATCATAAATGGCGAAGTAGATACATATTTGTTTTTTGGGATTAATGAAGTGCAGTTTTGGTGATTATGGCGATTGATAATTTAAAAAAGTGACGAGTGCTGAGCACCATATAGGGTTGATATGCATTCCTTGAGAGTTATTCATTTTTTCTTCTGTGCTGCGTATGCATAATGCTTCCTTAAACTTCCGGAAATAGCGTCTTTTCTCCTTCATAATTAATTTGACGTTGTGTCTACTTGATGGTCATTTTCTGCCATGTGTAATGATACAGGAGAAGTTGTTACTGCTCTGCGTATGTCGGATTGATGTTCTGCAAATCTCTTCTCATAATCTCTTTGAGTTTCTCCAAAATATTTAGATGAGCAGTTTTTACACTTGAAATTGTAGATTCCAGCTTTGGTGTTGGGAGGTTTTTCTTTTGTGTTACATATAAGAGAGCTTAGTTTAGTCCCAGGGTAATATCCAAGTTCTATTTCCAATTTTCTTCTCAAGAATTTAGCTATTTTCGTAGTTACATCTCCAGCATAAGGTAAAATGATTCTTTTTTCAAACTCCGGATCTGTTTTTGGAAAATTTAGTTCTGCTTTTCTTTTTACTATATCCAATCTATTCTTAATTAACTTGTTTGGATAATCGTTTTTTCTTAAAATGTCCATTGTTAATCCCAATTCTTCTTCAATGTGGGTTTCGTCCGACAGTCGATGAGCTCTTGTAAGTAAAGTGTCCACTACACCAATTTTATGAGCCAGTGGGTGCTGTGAATTGTAGTTCAGGTATTTATTGGTGTTGGTAGGTGTCCTGTATACATGATATCCAATTGATCGGTTAGATTTTTCATATAACATCAAGTCTAAGAACGGTAATTTCCCGTGGTTTTCTTCTTCCGTGGTAAACTTAATTGAGTTATGGAAATCGTTGATTTTGGCTAATATTGTTTTCTTCTTTCGATGTTTGATTAATGCGAAGATGTCATCTACATATCTGCGCCAAAAATAGATTGCACGTTCGTTGGCAATGGTCTGAATTTCTAATTCTTGTAAAAATATTTCTGCTATTATGGCCGAAATCGGACTTCCCATTGCTGTCCCTTCCATTTGTGAGTAGTATCCGTCCTGAAACTTAAAATATGTGGAGGAAAGACATATTTTAAGACATTCCATAATATCATCAACGGATAATTTTGTGATTGAAGTTAAATCTGATATCCTGTTGAGTCTATTTTTGACTATATTTAGACTTTGTTCTATTGGTACTTTGGTAAACAGTGAGACGACGTCAAAAGATACCATGAGGTCTCCGGGTCTTCTTTTGAGAGTTTTAATCTCTTTCACAAAATCTGTTGAGTTTTTAATACTGTATTTGTGATTTGTTGTGACATTTTTCAAAATATTTGCAATGTGAGAAGCCAGATTATAAGTTGGTGACATTCTGAAATCAACAACGGGACGGAGAGGAGTGTTTTCCTTATGAATTTTTGGGGCTCCATATAATATGGGTGCTCTTGGGTCTTTTATTACAAGATTGCTTGCTACTTGTGGTGTTAATTTTTCTTGTTCAGCTAACCTCTTGGAAATTAATTCTACTTTCTTCGAAAGATTGGGCGTTGGATCTTGTGGTAATCGAATATAGGGTCCGTCGTGTATCATTTCTTCTACTTTCTTAATGTAATCCGTTTTATTCATAATGACCACGCAGTTTCCTTTATCAGCTTTGGAGATGACAATGTTTTGGTTGTTTTGAATTGACCGGATAGATGTTGAAATTGACTTACTCCATTTTGTTTTGAAGTTAGATTTATTGACGAATTTTTTCATAATTTGGGTTACGCCAGTTCGAACATCATTTTTAACGTTCTCTGTTATCTCCATGTCCAACATTCGTAATTCTATTGTGGCTGCTGTGTCAATCATCGGTATTCTTATGTCTTTGTGTGGTAGTGAGAAGTTTAGACCAAGTTTCAGTAATTTTTCTTCATTTTCATCCGGTTTGTATGAAGAAAGATTTTGGATTAGAATTGGACTTTCGGGATTTGAATGTTGGTCAATAATTTTAGATGCCGATTCTTTATTTAGGGCGTCTAGTTTTTCTACGTGCCGTTGTTTGATTTGAGTCTGGATGGAGTCTTGTGTGTGGTTTATTAATTCACATATCCATCCCCATAATTGTGGCATTTTTTCTCTGGTCGAGATTCTTAATTTTTTTAAATCATTCTCAATTTGGTGTAATTCTTGAAAATTGATCTTGATCATTGTTTTAAGGAGTTTCTCTTCATACTCGGTTTGAAATTTGGCAATTAGTGGATGAGGTCCAAACTGTTTAGTTAAATGTTGCATTTTGAAGCCTTTTGGTGTTAAATTAAGATTTTTGCATCTTTTCAAGAAGATTGTGTTATTTTGAATTTGTACTTTCCTTTTATGAAGAGATTCCAATTTTCTAACGTCGATGACTTCAGCCCCGCCGTGGAGCGTCCGTATTTTGTGTAGTAGTTGCTTCCATCCTCTGTTATATATATAATTTGATTGATCGGCGTTGGAGGACATATTTTTGAAATTGAGTTTATTGACAAGCTTTCGGCACATACAGATACCTTCATCAGGTCATAAATTGGGGACAAATCATAAATGGCGAAGTACATACATATTTGTTTTTGGGATTAATGAAGTGCAGTTTTGGTGATTATGGCGATTGATAATTTAAAAATATGTTCTTTATTTATATATGTACTTGTTCAGTGTCTAGTAATATGTACGTGGGTTGATCTGAAAGCCCATTCAGTTTTACATTCTACTGGTCCAAAACCAATTTTTTATATTTAAAAATGGGTTACATTTGTTTCCATATTTTATAGTTTTATACATTTCGGAGTAAATTACATATTTAGGCGAGTGGTCAAATTTTAAACAGTGGACAAGAGCGATATGTACATATGTATTTATTGATGAACTCGTATGTACACACATATAGTGACCCTGTACAATGACTATTTCTTTAAAAAATAAATACATAGATACTTGCTGATTTTTTCAGGACATGCTATTTGGCTGGAAAGTGTGCGAAAATTCTGCGCAAAAACCAGCCAGAATTGGGCATCGATGATAAAGACATACTCTGCGTGTATGTCGGCGGCCTTTGCCACGACTTAGGCCATGGTCCGTTTTCACACACGTGGGAACACTTTATGAAAAAACATGACAAGGACTACTCGGTAAAACTATTCGTTATCATTATCATAATGCCTCCTTAGATAAAAAGTCTTCATTCATTTATGAATATCTTGATTGATAGCATGAGTTCATGTCGCGCCTAATTTTGGATCATATGATTGAGAAAAATGATTTAATGCCGATTTTTCAAAGCCATGGGTTGACCCGGAATGACGTTACTTTCATAAAGGAAATAATTTTGGGGCATTCCCTTGACGGAGAGGGGATGGAATTTAAGGGCAGACCGGCGGCGAAACACTTTTTGTATGAGGTACATATGTATATATTCATTTCTACGAAATCTGAACATTACGGAAATCGCGAATTAATCGTTTTTGCAATCAATTTTCACGAAGGCACCAAGTTTTCCCATTACGCTAATGTCGCTAATGATAAATTTAGCCTTTGCATGAAAATTTAGTGTATAAACCCTGAATTCACAATCTTAAACCTTGAAAAATATATGAACGTATTTTATTTAGATTGTGTCCAACAGCAGGACGAAAATTGACGTTGATAAATTCGACTATCTTCTCCGCGATAGTAAACAACTGAATTTAAAAACGTCCTTCGACTACAAACGAGTCTTCAACGAGAGTCGAGTCCTACGTAGCCCCGACCATGGGGGTGAGCTTCGAATCGCGTACCGACAAAAAATACGGCAAAATCTTGAAGAACTCTTCCACCAGAGGGCGGCCTTCCACCAGAAGGCGTATCAGCATAAGGATACTAAAATCATAGAGCTAATGTAAATACATATGTACATATGTCATATTCGCAATTTTTCGCATGTTTCGTTATGTTGTAAACATATATATTTTGCATAGGATTTTGGACGGCTTAAATTCCGCCAATTCTGAAGAGAAATTCGTCTATGGGCCTGACACAGGGAAATGGTATAATCTTTCCTCTGCTCACAAGGACATTTCGGCCTTCCTAAAGCTGACCGATGCAATTTTTGAACTTATCTGCAACTGGGGGAAGGGAGGTGTCCAAGCTGAAACCATTTTTGGCAACATCGTTCACCGGAATTTGTACAAATTCCTTGGATTCGTCAATTTGACTGATAACCCTCAAGTATAAATATAAGTTTCCACAAATTATTTCAGACGATATGTATCTGTACATTTTTAGAAATCTGGTATAGTCACGCAGGTATTGGTTTCTCGGTATTGAATTAAAGTAGCTTGATATTACCGCTTGGTATTACTATTATGCCGTAAAATTTTACAACCGATTTGATAACACATACATATCAATGCCACTTGGTAGAGCAAATGTGAATACCGCTTGGTATTATTTTATTACTGGATTTCTAAGAGTGTATGCAAATTATGTAGATACTGAAATTTGTATGTCTATACATTTGCCTAACATAAAATTTAGAAAGAGTTAACTGACGCCCTTGCTGAGCACAATGTCGTCTTGGTATCAACCCACATTGACTATGGAAGTGGGTCAGAAAACCCGCTGAATTCTGCAATTTTCTATTGCAAAGATAACGGACGTGATTCTGTTCGTGCAGTAAAAGCGAAAAACTTCCCAATGCCGTTATTGTAGGTTTGCAGATACATGCATAGTCATATAAAAAAATGCGTAAATATTTACATAAAAATAATTTTAAGGGAGAAGAAGGGCTTCCTTTTACTACGTCACAGTATCCCCGAAATTGATGAAAACAACAACAACGAGGTCAACGAGACGGATATAACCTCAACGGTTGAGGAAGTTGAAAAAATTTGTGGCAACTTTAAGTTAGAGTTGCAACAAGAATAAGAAAGATGTCCATAGGGTTAGTGACAAACATTTCTTTGACAACTTGAATATTATAGATAACTTACAATATTAATAATTAAGAAATTTCATTAATTTGAATGAAATGCAATTATATGAAATCAGTAAAGACAATGCCAGTTTAATAATGATTTTCAGACCTTTGTTTGTACACATGCATATGCATATGAACATTTAAAGATTAAGGCTCAACATACTTATGAATACATAAATTTAAATATATATATGTTACATTTATATTATGTACATAAATACATGTTATAATATTAACATTTATGTACATGCATACATATTTAAATATGCATTATTGACACTGTCAATTTGACAGTAAATGAATCCAAGGTGAATTACATAAGCAGATCACTTATTTACTTATTGCATAAATTCAGATAAACAACTTTTCAAGTTAAGCGATGCCAATTCTTATCAGGTTTTATCCGAATGTGCAGCTCCGACAATCCAACACTATTCGCGTATTCCAATATACATACATACATATATACATACATACATATTGCTTATGTATGTATGTATGTATATAAATTATGTAACAGTGGCACTACCGCATATCTGATTGTCGTATATCGCATAGTATGTATATATGTATTCCTCATAAAGTTAGTCCAGAAAACTTATGTACATATCTACTATTATAATGTACAAGTAAAGTTATGTAAGTATACATTTAATTAGTCATGGTTATTTTTGGAGTTGGGCAGCTTGAATCAATTTCTCTCATCTGTGCATCCAGCTATGTTTCTTGCATATAAATAAGTGTGTAAAGTTGAGTGCAGATTAATAATTCATAATCCATATTTTTGTAAGAATAGTTTGGTCTAGTGTTAAAATAAAGCTTAAATCTAGAAGCAGCATAATTTTATTCTTTAATTGGAACCATGACGGAGGGAAGGTTTGATCTAGTGAATGAGGTCGATCTCGTAAAATTGGAGGACGCTCTGGTACAAAAATTACCTTTGTCTGGGCAAGTATGTCGATGTCAATATATAATAATTTACTCGGACATATTTAGCATTGAATATTTCTCATATGCAAATACGTACATAAATTTTCAAAAAGCATTGATTATTTATTTATTTTCCATAGATGTTAAACATTTTACGATTAAAAAAACTTGGAAAATTTACCGACGAAACTTCAGTATTGCTCTACATTTATGTTGATGGCGAAAAAGGTGATACCGCCAAATGGGAGGATCCATTCACAGTTTGCATCCAAGAGCCGAACGTAAGCGGTTAAAAATATGTCAATATTTCACCCAAGTTCTTTTAAATTTCATAATTTGTAAATATGTGGGTTTTAAATGGAATAAAGATGCACGGATTGTACGTTATCTTGATCGATTTTCCTGCCGCTGGTCTATCATCCGACATGATTCGAGATTTTGAGAAGTTAGTAAAATGGGAGAGAAACCCCCTCTTCTACGCAATGCCGGACCAATTTTGTGACAATTATTTGGTTCCGCTCTGCCTAAAGTGGGGTGCAGAACCGAAGCGGGTAAAATGTGAGATGTACGCATTAACCGTAAAAAATGTGGAATCAGGCCAGAACGGTAAGAGCGTAAAGCTTAGAATGTATGAAATGTTTTTTTGTATTGTGACGCAAATACTTCAAGGAAATATTTTATAAATTTAAATCAGATTACGACCACTCGGTTAGAATTGGACCATTAACTGAAGCCAATGTCGAGCAGGCAGTTGCCACTGACTTAACGAAATTTTGGCAACATCGTGAAAATAGAAGACAGGTGATTTTTAACATACATAGTTTGCTTAATTATTGTGTAAACTTGTGTCTACTATGGGGGAAATTAAAAATTAATATTCCCATAAGAACGAATGACACCTTATTAAATATTTAATTATGATTAGACGACTAATTTGTTTTAAAGATGTTTTTTGCTTGACTGACCTAACCCAAATTTTGGTTCCCTTGTAGATTGAGCTCTCCATTCGTAATCTGGCAACGAGAGGAGCCTTCGTGAACGGTATTCTCGCCGCTTTCGCCTTCCTTTCTCCTGCCGGGCTGATGAATAATGTTTGGACGGAACCTCCTTATCGGAGGCGAGGACTTTCTGCGACCATAATACAAAGCTTATCTGGTGCCATCATGGAATTGGGGTGTATTCCGATGGCACAATGCGCCGCCACGAACGATTCGGTGCGGCGTCTCTTTATGAAATTGGGATTCACTCTGGTCCGGAAAACGAGTTCTGTTACGTTTCAGCCTAAACAGAAACAGGTTAGAAAGCGTGAATGATCTGACACAAAAATAACTTACAAAATTTGGCAAAAATATGAATTATACAAATAAATGTGTATATTCAATTCAATTATTTATTATGTGAGTTTACATGAAATTGATTACTCTATCATCTCAATCTTTTTAAGTTTTCACTATTTCTTGTTAAAGTTGTGACAATTCCATGCAATAATACTTCCAGAACAGTAAAACTTGTGTACTTTATGGTAGTCTCACAATTTGGCAAATTCTTACCAAATCAAGGTAATAAGGTATGTAAGTATTTATCGACAATTTCGGTTCGAATTATTTTAGTATATGGTCTCACAAAAAGAATCCTTCATACATACGTATGTACATCACTATTATAATTATGATGATGTATATTTGTTAGAACATATTCCTAATTTCAGCCACTCCCTTGAAACTGTATTAATACAATGAGATATGTAGTTATAGTCCCGACAACCTACATATGTGGGAGGAGAATAATAATAATTACGTATATTATACCAGTTCATCATTTAGTTCAGTTCATCATTGCATAATCTTATGCATAAATCTTACCGGTGTCAAAAGTTGAAGATTTACGTTAAAGAAATTAGTCTGTACACGAAGCGGATCCGATTTCCTGTACAGTTTTCCCCAATAATTCTTCAAAAATAATGAATACAATTATTTTAAAAAAATTCCAATTAATCTACTAATTAAAATATAGAAAGGGTATTCATAATTCCTTCGTATCTTTAGTATTCCTCATATCGTAAAATAAGTTATTATGGTTGAGTATGATTTTGTCATCAAAAATCGCGTTACGAAGGTTACGATTTTTAAGAACCTTGACTCCTTTTTTCGTAAACTATTGTACAAGACTACTGATACCAAGATAATTATGAATACCTTGATATTTATTAACCTTATTCTGGTTGACCAACTTTATAAACGAGTTCAAATCCTTCACAATTCCTCCACTTTCCTCCACAAGTTCCGACGCTTTCGTACACACGGCATAAATGATGTAAAAATACAGTCCAACCGTCATAAAATCATGCACCGTTCCCGAAATCCCATTCAGCGTTGCATAGTTCGTCTGCGTCGCGAGGAAATAACTCGAGAAAATAATTCTCGCGATGCTATGAATCATGTCAATCGTCACCCAAATTCCGAACAATTTATTAAAGCATTTCACTTGCTGGTGCAGAAATGCATAAAAATTCATAATACTTTGAATTTCAAAATTTTCTACGCCACTTAAAAACTCCGCCCCCAATATTTGTTCACGCTCCCACTCTACCATAACTTTAATTTGGAGTAACAATTCTAGAAACCAATTAAGCGTGTAAACCAGCACGAATGAAAATATCGAGTGAAAATATCCCAAGCCTACCGGTGCACAGTAGACAAATACGAACGGGAATTTTACCCCTGGTTGGGAAAGCATGTTGTAAATTATTTCCGCCATACCTACTGAAATTATGGTGAGGAAAAGTAGGATTTGAATTAATAACTGTGCACTGAACCGATTTCCGGTTTTTGGCCCGGTTTTTGAGGGAACCAGACCATTTGAAACGTTGAATCTGTAGAGTAACATGGACAATTTGTGAATATCCTTGTACAGCTTTGTTAACGATTTTCTCTCCAGAAACATTCCCACCTTGACGAAACTTGCGGTGAAAATGTGTAAAATGCATTTCAAAATAAGAGCTGCGTAAAATGTGTTTGTTTGTCGTCTCCGTTTGCGAATATGCGCAGTAGGATGGGATATGATGTCGGGCAAGATGACGAAAAAAATTGTGAGAACGGAACATACCAAGAATGAAAATGATATGACAGGTGCTGCACAAGACAAGTTAGTCCAAAATAGTGTGGATTTGTTCTTCGTTTTATTTGGAAAGGGTGGTGATACTATTAAATTGTTCCATGGTTTTTTAGCAATTGAGATTGGGAAATATCCCAAAATTTTAAATATCGTTGTTACGAAATTATCCATATTGTTGCCAGTGGCAAACTTGCTATAAATAATATAATTCTTGACAAACTATTGTCCAAATTCTGTGTATCAGTGTTATTGTATCTGTAGAGTGAACGAGTTGAAGCTGAGAGCTCTATTAATTTGGTGATTGCTTATTTTATTACCTAGTTTGTTTGCTAAATAAGTGGTCATATTTGGCTTGTGGACATACAAATTAAATACGTAAACGTTGTGTATGATGTGCCTATGGAATTTAATTCCATTACTTATGAAATCAATTTTAGTAATGTATTTATTCACTTATAAATACTTACATACATATACATACATACATATGTAGTTATCGAAAAATTGATTATAAATGTGCATTAAAAGTAAGAAATTTTCTTGTTAATTTCTATCGCTAGATTGAAATTGGATAAGTAAATATTTTCAAAATCTAAATTACTAAAAAATTCCACCCTTGACTTTAATCATCAAACATCTCCCTCGAAATATTCCTTACTTGCTTCAACGACAATTTAATATGATGCATAAATTTGACATGTTTTTGCAAGCTACCATCATTTTTTAATACTGCGTCACACTCCGGGCACTTCCGGCCTAAACTGTCCACGTGCACCCGCCCCATGTGCCCTTTAAGGCTTGACCCTGTCTTAAACTTTGTCCCACACGTGACGCATTTGAACGGCATCTCCAGTGTGTGGTCCAAAAGGTGATCACTCATCGTATAAACGTTTGGAAATTTCCTTTCACAAAAGTAACAGCTGTGCGTGCGCTGCTTGTGAACATTTTGCACGTGTGCCTTCACGTGATTACGTATTTTGAACATTAGATTACAAATTGGACAGGGAAAATTTTTGAAGTCACAGTGGACCGATTTCAGATGGTGGTTTAGAGCCAACCGGGTTCGAAACGATTTCGAACACTTGTCACATTCATGTGTTGTTACATCGGAATGCCATATTTTGACGTGATAGTCAAGCTTGTTCTTGCGGAATAAGACGCGATCGCATTTTTGGCAGGGGTACTTCTCTCCACGATGGCACTTTTCGACATGGTCTCCCGCAAAGTGGTGCCATTCCGGAAGGATGCGGGGCACACACGACAGGTGTAAAACGATTCGCCGGTATGTTTTGCAATATGGTCGCGGAGTTTAGTCGCACCTGTGAGGACTTTTTGGCAAAATTGGCTGTTCGTGAGTGTAACACTATTTAGAACTTTATGCAGGGATGGTAAGATGCACAAGTTGTCGACAAAGTTGAAGTAAATGAGGAGGTGAATTGAGACTTGGTTACTTTCTTAGGTCAGATAATTTACTACGTTTAGAAATACTTATTACATGGAAAATGACCGAATGATACTGAGCGACTGACAAGGTGAACTTGAGTTCGAGGTGTATTTATAAGTTTATGTACGTCACACTTAAATAGTCAGTTAACCAATAGAAATGTAGAGAAGGAACGCAAAGAGAGGAAAATATTTGAACTTTAAAGGACACGACAATGAACTGATAAACGATATTATACATTCAAAAGTCCAGCGACAAACTGGCGACTTGAGACACAATTCTTGTGTAACGTACATATACTGACTTGAGTAAAGAGGAAAAAGGTAAGTTTACATAAAAAGATAGCTAATTATATTAGTCAAATCATGGAATTGAGATTAGTTCAATCATCATAAAGTAAAATGCATAAGAAATCATAAGTTAAAATACATACAAATAATAAGTCAAATTCATAATGCATTAATCATGTTAAGACGAAACATTCCGCCGGCCTTGAAATGCCAATTTTCAATTTTATTGTGGTGTGGATGAGACGGCTTGATCCGATGCGGAAGTGATGGGAAGTGGGGACAACTTCACCAAGGGACGCTTAAGTTCTCCGGTTGCTGTCTTCACAACGGAAGTCTGGTCCAGGGTGGAGTTGCGTGATTCGTCCGAGTTGCCATTGCATGGGGGATAAATTTTCATGTTTGATGAGGACTAGGTCACCAATTGATATCTTGTGGTCACCGTAGATCCATTTAGGTCGTTGTTGCATTCTGGTGAGATATTCGGAGGACCACCGCTTCCAGAAATCTTGAGTTATTCTCTGGAGGAGTTGCCATCGGGAGAGGCGACTTATTTGCAAATCTTGGAGATGTGGTTCAGGGATGGAGGTGAGAGCGGTACCAATAAGGAAATGTCCGGGGGTTAACGTAGTGAGATCACTGGGATCGCTCGATTCAGGACAAAGGGGACGGGAGTTGAGTATTGCTTCGATTCTCGCACTTGTTGTCGTAAGTTCTTCGAATGTGAGGCGTTGAGATCCAATCACTCGTTTTAAGTGAAACTTGACACTCTTGACTCCTGCTTCCCATAGGCCGCCGAAGTGAAGACTTGCTGGTACACTGAAGTGCCATAGAATCCCTCTGGTTGAGATTTGGTCGGCTATGGTTTGGTTGTGTTTTGCAGACAAGACCAAGGTCAGCATCTCCTTGAGTTCTCGGTCGGCTCCAACGAAGTTGGTGCCACAATCGCTGTACATGTCGGAGGGAAGTCCACGTCGCGACACAAAGCGCCAGAGTGCTGCCAGGAATGCGTCAGTTGACAGGGAGCTGACAATTTCCAAGTGAACTGCACGGGTACAGCAGCATATGAAGAGGGCAAGGTAGGCTTTGATTGTTGTAGTGCTTCTTGGTTGGATTGGTTTGATTAGGAAGGGACCTGCATAGTCGACCCCGGTTTTCTGGAACGGACGACTTGGGGTCACGCGGAAGGAAGGGAGGTCTCCCATCATTGGTTGAAGGGTGACTGGCTTGTGGCGAGCACAGGTGACACATTTCTTAACAAATTGGCGAATTACATCCTTCGCACGGATAATCCAGAATTGGCGATGAATTATGGACATCATGAGTTGTGGACCAGCATGGAAGTGGTTGAGATGTTCTCACAGGAGGAGGAGTTCAACGAGTCTTCCGTGGAGGATGGGGTTCTTCTCTTCTGGGGACAGTAGAGAGTGGCGTAAGCGACCACCAACACGTAGGACAGAGTCTTGATCCATGAACGGTTTCAAGGTGACAATTTTACTTGAAAGAGGGATGTTCTTATCTTGTTGCAGGCATTTAATCTCCAATGCGAATGCTTCAGCTTGAGTGATTCGGACCCAGCAGAGTAGAGAACGGTTGAGTTCCACTGGGGTGAGAGGGAGCATGGTCGGGTTACTGGATCTGACCTTGGCTCGACAATTGGTAGCGAATCGGAGTAAAATTGCTGTTACTCGTAGCAATTTATCCAACGACGAGTACTTGTTAAGTAGGACTTGATTTGGAGACGAGATTACTGCATGGCAAATTGTTTGATTCCGTTCTTCATTTTTGCACTGATCATCATGGGGTCCAATAACTCCATGTGGAATTGGAATTCCATGCTTGAGCCAGTGTGGACCTTTCCACCATAGAGAGTGATTGATAAGTTCGGATGAACTTATGCCACGGGATGCGCAGTCGGCAGGATTGTCCTCGGAGCGGACATGACCCCAGCGTTCAGGGGGAACAAGAGCTTGGATCTTTGTGAGACGGTTTGCAACAAAGGTCTTCCATCGAGAGGGGTGTGACTTAATCCACGAGAGGGTAACGGAGGAGTCGGTCCAAGCTGTGACGGAATGTAGTGGAATCCGAAGGGCTGATTGGACTGACGACATGAGTTCAGAGAGGAGGAGGGCTCCACATAATTCGAGTCGGGGAAGAGAAACGGTCTTGACTGGAGCAACTCTAGTTTTCGAAGTGATGAGACTTGTCGAAATCTTATCTTCTTGGTATGCACAAAAGTAGACCACGGCTGAGTAGGCTCGTTCTGATGCGTCGGAAAATCCAGCGAGACAATAAGCTGGCAATGATGAATTGTTGGATTGGGTGGGATGATGAGGAGTACTTGATTGGAGAGTGTGACCATGTCTTTGTTTCGAAGAGTCAGTGTCCACCACCGGAACGCTAAGCATGGTACTGGAGATCGCGGGGTTTAACTGACTTGATTGACCACAGAGACCAGACATATTTGTGACCACCGGAACATCCAGCGTGGGACTGGCGATCGCGGAGTCGTGTAGATAGTGTCGTGGTAACTGGAGTCTTGCTAGGGTTGACATGTCACGGACCAGGGATATCCATTGTTGTTGAATGGATTCAGGTAGCGTAGTATCCCATCCAACTTGGAGAGTGCGAAGAGGTTGCATCAGTAGTTTAGCGTTGATGATGACGGGTGATAACCAGCCGGGAGGGTCAAATATTTTGGCGAGTTCTGAGAGAACTTTCCTCTTTGTTAGAGGTGTATCGTCGTGGGCAGGGGGTTGTATTTTGAATACAAAGACATCTTCTTTGGGGTTCCAGCAGATTCCCAGCGTCTTGATAGTGGGATCCACGTCAAGGGGCAGAGTTGACTTTGACTCTCGTAGGTCTTCGGGTAGTGCGTTGAGCAGGGTTTCACAATTTGAGGACCATTTGCGGAGTTTGAATCCGCCTGATTCCATAGCCTCGAGGAGTTGAGATTGAGTGATGAGTGCATCTTCTTCATTCGCATCTCCACTGATGAGGTCATCCATGTAGAAGTCGCGGCAAATGACGGCAGCAGCTTTTGGTAACTCTTCTTTCTTGAGTTGTCCAACTTCTTGTAGGGCCCTGGTGGCTTGAAAGGAGGCAGCTGCAGTACCATAGGTAACGGTACGCAACATGAAATGCTTGATTGGTTCGTTGCTGTTCTCTCTCCACACAATTCTTTGCAGGTTTGCATCTTCGGGACGGACGAGGACTTGTCTGTACATTTTTTCCATGTCGGCGGTGAATGCGATTTTGTGGAGACGAAAGCGCAGGATGAGGTCGAACAGGTTATCTTGAATGGTAGGTCCAATCAACATTGTGTCGTTGAGCGACACGCCGTTTGACGTCTTGGAGGAGGCGTCAAACACGATACGAAATTTTGTTGTAGTGGAGTCGGCCTTGAGTACGAAATGGTGAGGAATATAGCAGTGATTGGTGTCGTCCTTGTCTGGTGGGGCGACTTCAGTCATGTGGCCTAAGTCCAAATATTCTTTCATGAATTTGGCATATTCATCTTTGTAGTGGGGTTGCATGGCTAATCTGCGTTCAATTTGTTTCAGTCTTCGTATTGCAATTTCCAGGGAGGAACCAAGGACAGGGCATGGTAACTTGTACGGGATGTGAACCATTAGTTGTCCATTACTTGTTTGCTTGACGGTGGAGGTGAAATGTTCTTCGCATGCTTCTTCCTCCTTGGTCAGGGTGCGATGATGAGGTGGAACTTCTTCAATTTCCCAAAATTTGCGCATTGCTTGGTCAAAGGACTGCTCTTCGGTCATGTGATCTGTCGTGGACAAATGGGACACATTGCGGAGAAGAGAGTTGTTGTAGTCCGGGCACCCTCCTCCAATCATCCAACCAAATGATGAGTTGAGTGCGACGGGACTTCCGGGTGGGCCAGTCTTCTTGCCGTCTTTGGTGACCTCGAAGAAGAACTCGGCCCCCAGTAGCATGTCTACTGGGAGAGGCTGATGCCAACTGGGGTCTGCAAGCTTCAGGTTTTGCAGATGTGGCCATTGGTGCTGACTGATGGGGTTCAAGGGCAAATCTCCAGTGATTTTGGGAATGATGAGCGCCTTGACTTTCATTGATATGGATGGATTGAAATGGGGACTAACTGTGAGCCATGTAAATCCTTTGGCGACAGTAAGGGCTCCTTCACCAAGTCCAGTGGCGGAAGCGACGCATCGGGTTCTTGGTAATCCGAGTTTTTTGATGCAGCTCTCCGTGATGTAGTGGGTGTTGGATCCACTATCGCTGAGAATGCGGATGGGTTGCAATTTACTGTACCGATCAGGAACGAGGACTCTTGCTATTGCCAGAAGTGTTTCTAAATTCTTGGTCTTCATATCTTGACATGTGGTGGCGAAAACTTGACCATTTGAACCGTTGTGTTGCTTGTCAGGTTTTGCTGTGGCAGTGGCAGTGCCGGACCGGGCGAGGTGGACCGTGTGACTGCTGGTTTCTTGCGATCGGGAGGCGTCAGGGTTCCGTCCGCGATGAAGAAGAGTGTGGTGCTTACCGTTGCAGGTTCTGCACGTCTTTGAGCTTTGGCACTGGGCGCTTGTATGGTTGTCTTTGAGGCAGTTGAAGCAAAGGCTGGCTTTCTTCACCGCTTCGGTTCTTGTACGGACATGGCATTTAGGGTTGGACATTTGAAAACTGGATGGTTTTCCGAACATACTTTGCATGGTGGCGACTGGACGAGATGAGCAAGATTACCACTGGGCTGGCCATTGGGACGTGAAGTCTTCTCATTGTCGTGTCTATGGGTTGCTTGCTTTGACGACTTCTGGGCGTTGGTGGAGCTCGCTGAGAGAGCACGGGCACGCTGCTCGAGAAAGTCGTAAAGTGTTTGGAGGGACGGAATTGCGCTGTCTTTGAGAGACTGCTCCCACAATTCCTTGGAGGCGTAGTCCATCTTCCTTGCGATGATGAACATGAGGTGGGCACCCCAATGGTGCGTTGACAACTTCAAAACATCAAGGGATCGGATGCATTCGCGACTCACATCGAGTAGCTGGCGAATGCCATGGGCTGAGTGTGGCTGAACAAGTGGTTGGTCATGGAATCGCTTCATAATTGAAAAGAAAATCTCACGGTCGTTTTGGTATCGATCTGACAATTGTGTCCATGCAATATCGTAATTGGCGTCGGATATTGTAATGGACTGGACCTGTCGTGCAGCTTCACCTTTTAGTTGCGCTTTGAGATATGTAAGTTTCTGTGATTTGCTTAGACTTGCATTGTTGTGGACTGCATTCGTGAACATATCTCGAAAAGCTATCCACTCGTTGAGGTCACCGTCGAAGGTAGGAAGGGTCAACTTAGGTAGCTGTAGGGTACTTGGAGTTGAAGGTGATGCAGCTGTGGGGATGACAGGAACGGCGAAGGTCTTGAGAACTGTTGCAAACTGGTGCTCCAATTCCAGGGCTCGATCTTTCATTGACATGTATTCTGCTGAGTGAGGATCCATGTCTTTGTGGTCAACAATTGATGCGATTTTCTGAAATAAATCTTCAATCTTCTCTTGACGTTCCACTGTTTTGATGTAGTGTCGAATCTTCGCTTCTGGGGCAGGCGCTGTGACGTGGTCATTGAAACGCTTTTCCAACCAGGTAAGATTAACTTTAACAGTGTCACGGTCACGTTCAACTTTGTCGATGGCTGACGGTGCCATTTTATTACACTAAAACACGATAAGTTCACGAATATCTGGAGAGTATCCGGTACGATGGGACCAAAAAATGTTCGTGAGTGCAACACTATTTAGAACTTTATGCAGGGATGGTAAGATGCACAAGTTGTCGACAAAGTTGAAGTAAATGAGGAGGTGAATTGAGACTTGGTTACTTTCTTAGGTCAGATAATTTACTACGTTTAGAAATACTTATTACATGGAAAATGACCGAATGATACTGAGCGACTGACAAGGTGAACTTGAGTTCGAGGTGTATTTATAAGTTTATGTACGTCACACTTAAATAGTCAGTTAACCAATAGAAATGTAGAGAAGGAACGCAAAGAGAGGAAAATATTTGAACTTTAAAGGACACGACAATGAACTGATAAACGATATTATACATTCAAAAGTCCAGCGACAAACTGGCGACTTGAGACACAATTCTTGTGTAACGTACATATACTGACTTGAGTAAAGAGGAAAAAGGTAAGTTTACATAAAAAGATAGCTAATTATATTAGTCAAATCATGGAATTGAGATTAGTTCAATCATCATAAAGTAAAATGCATAAGAAATCATAAGTTAAAATACATACAAATAATAAGTCAAATTCATAATGCATTAATCATGTTAAGACGAAACATTCCGCCGGCCTTGAAATGCCAATTTTCAATTTTATTGTGGTGTGGATGAGACGGCTTGATCCGATGCGGAAGTGATGGGAAGTGGGGACAACTTCACCAAGGGACGCTTAAGTTCTCCGGTTGCTGTCTTCACAACGGAAGTCTGGTCCAGGGTGGAGTTGCGTGATTCGTCCGAGTTGCCATTGCATGGGGGATAAATTTTCATGTTTGATGAGGACTAGGTCACCAATTGATATCTTGTGGTCACCGTAGATCCATTTAGGTCGTTGTTGCATTCTGGTGAGATATTCGGAGGACCACCGCTTCCAGAAATCTTGAGTTATTCTCTGGAGGAGTTGCCATCGGGAGAGGCGACTTATTTGCAAATCTTGGAGATGTGGTTCAGGGATGGAGGTGAGAGCGGTACCAATAAGGAAATGTCCGGGGGTTAACGTAGTGAGATCACTGGGATCGCTCGATTCAGGACAAAGGGGACGGGAGTTGAGTATTGCTTCGATTCTCGCACTTGTTGTCGTAAGTTCTTCGAATGTGAGGCGTTGAGATCCAATCACTCGTTTTAAGTGAAACTTGACACTCTTGACTCCTGCTTCCCATAGGCCGCCGAAGTGAAGACTTGCTGGTACACTGAAGTGCCATAGAATCCCTCTGGTTGAGATTTGGTCGGCTATGGTTTGGTTGTGTTTTGCAGACAAGACCAAGGTCAGCATCTCCTTGAGTTCTCGGTCGGCTCCAACGAAGTTGGTGCCACAATCGCTGTACATGTCGGAGGGAAGTCCACGTCGCGACACAAAGCGCCAGAGTGCTGCCAGGAATGCGTCAGTTGACAGGGAGCTGACAATTTCCAAGTGAACTGCACGGGTACAGCAGCATATGAAGAGGGCAAGGTAGGCTTTGATTGTTGTAGTGCTTCTTGGTTGGATTGGTTTGATTAGGAAGGGACCTGCATAGTCGACCCCGGTTTTCTGGAACGGACGACTTGGGGTCACGCGGAAGGAAGGGAGGTCTCCCATCATTGGTTGAAGGGTGACTGGCTTGTGGCGAGCACAGGTGACACATTTCTTAACAAATTGGCGAATTACATCCTTCGCACGGATAATCCAGAATTGGCGATGAATTATGGACATCATGAGTTGTGGACCAGCATGGAAGTGGTTGAGATGTTCTCACAGGAGGAGGAGTTCAACGAGTCTTCCGTGGAGGATGGGGTTCTTCTCTTCTGGGGACAGTAGAGAGTGGCGTAAGCGACCACCAACACGTAGGACAGAGTCTTGATCCATGAACGGTTTCAAGGTGACAATTTTACTTGAAAGAGGGATGTTCTTATCTTGTTGCAGGCATTTAATCTCCAATGCGAATGCTTCAGCTTGAGTGATTCGGACCCAGCAGAGTAGAGAACGGTTGAGTTCCACTGGGGTGAGAGGGAGCATGGTCGGGTTACTGGATCTGACCTTGGCTCGACAATTGGTAGCGAATCGGAGTAAAATTGCTGTTACTCGTAGCAATTTATCCAACGACGAGTACTTGTTAAGTAGGACTTGATTTGGAGACGAGATTACTGCATGGCAAATTGTTTGATTCCGTTCTTCATTTTTGCACTGATCATCATGGGGTCCAATAACTCCATGTGGAATTGGAATTCCATGCTTGAGCCAGTGTGGACCTTTCCACCATAGAGAGTGATTGATAAGTTCGGATGAACTTATGCCACGGGATGCGCAGTCGGCAGGATTGTCCTCGGAGCGGACATGACCCCAGCGTTCAGGGGGAACAAGAGCTTGGATCTTTGTGAGACGGTTTGCAACAAAGGTCTTCCATCGAGAGGGGTGTGACTTAATCCACGAGAGGGTAACGGAGGAGTCGGTCCAAGCTGTGACGGAATGTAGTGGAATCCGAAGGGCTGATTGGACTGACGACATGAGTTCAGAGAGGAGGAGGGCTCCACATAATTCGAGTCGGGGAAGAGAAACGGTCTTGACTGGAGCAACTCTAGTTTTCGAAGTGATGAGACTTGTCGAAATCTTATCTTCTTGGTATGCACAAAAGTAGACCACGGCTGAGTAGGCTCGTTCTGATGCGTCGGAAAATCCAGCGAGACAATAAGCTGGCAATGATGAATTGTTGGATTGGGTGGGATGATGAGGAGTACTTGATTGGAGAGTGTGACCATGTCTTTGTTTCGAAGAGTCAGTGTCCACCACCGGAACGCTAAGCATGGTACTGGAGATCGCGGGGTTTAACTGACTTGATTGACCACAGAGACCAGACATATTTGTGACCACCGGAACATCCAGCGTGGGACTGGCGATCGCGGAGTCGTGTAGATAGTGTCGTGGTAACTGGAGTCTTGCTAGGGTTGACATGTCACGGACCAGGGATATCCATTGTTGTTGAATGGATTCAGGTAGCGTAGTATCCCATCCAACTTGGAGAGTGCGAAGAGGTTGCATCAGTAGTTTAGCGTTGATGATGACGGGTGATAACCAGCCGGGAGGGTCAAATATTTTGGCGAGTTCTGAGAGAACTTTCCTCTTTGTTAGAGGTGTATCGTCGTGGGCAGGGGGTTGTATTTTGAATACAAAGACATCTTCTTTGGGGTTCCAGCAGATTCCCAGCGTCTTGATAGTGGGATCCACGTCAAGGGGCAGAGTTGACTTTGACTCTCGTAGGTCTTCGGGTAGTGCGTTGAGCAGGGTTTCACAATTTGAGGACCATTTGCGGAGTTTGAATCCGCCTGATTCCATAGCCTCGAGGAGTTGAGATTGAGTGATGAGTGCATCTTCTTCATTCGCATCTCCACTGATGAGGTCATCCATGTAGAAGTCGCGGCAAATGACGGCAGCAGCTTTTGGTAACTCTTCTTTCTTGAGTTGTCCAACTTCTTGTAGGGCCCTGGTGGCTTGAAAGGAGGCAGCTGCAGTACCATAGGTAACGGTACGCAACATGAAATGCTTGATTGGTTCGTTGCTGTTCTCTCTCCACACAATTCTTTGCAGGTTTGCATCTTCGGGACGGACGAGGACTTGTCTGTACATTTTTTCCATGTCGGCGGTGAATGCGATTTTGTGGAGACGAAAGCGCAGGATGAGGTCGAACAGGTTATCTTGAATGGTAGGTCCAATCAACATTGTGTCGTTGAGCGACACGCCGTTTGACGTCTTGGAGGAGGCGTCAAACACGATACGAAATTTTGTTGTAGTGGAGTCGGCCTTGAGTACGAAATGGTGAGGAATATAGCAGTGATTGGTGTCGTCCTTGTCTGGTGGGGCGACTTCAGTCATGTGGCCTAAGTCCAAATATTCTTTCATGAATTTGGCATATTCATCTTTGTAGTGGGGTTGCATGGCTAATCTGCGTTCAATTTGTTTCAGTCTTCGTATTGCAATTTCCAGGGAGGAACCAAGGACAGGGCATGGTAACTTGTACGGGATGTGAACCATTAGTTGTCCATTACTTGTTTGCTTGACGGTGGAGGTGAAATGTTCTTCGCATGCTTCTTCCTCCTTGGTCAGGGTGCGATGATGAGGTGGAACTTCTTCAATTTCCCAAAATTTGCGCATTGCTTGGTCAAAGGACTGCTCTTCGGTCATGTGATCTGTCGTGGACAAATGGGACACATTGCGGAGAAGAGAGTTGTTGTAGTCCGGGCACCCTCCTCCAATCATCCAACCAAATGATGAGTTGAGTGCGACGGGACTTCCGGGTGGGCCAGTCTTCTTGCCGTCTTTGGTGACCTCGAAGAAGAACTCGGCCCCCAGTAGCATGTCTACTGGGAGAGGCTGATGCCAACTGGGGTCTGCAAGCTTCAGGTTTTGCAGATGTGGCCATTGGTGCTGACTGATGGGGTTCAAGGGCAAATCTCCAGTGATTTTGGGAATGATGAGCGCCTTGACTTTCATTGATATGGATGGATTGAAATGGGGACTAACTGTGAGCCATGTAAATCCTTTGGCGACAGTAAGGGCTCCTTCACCAAGTCCAGTGGCGGAAGCGACGCATCGGGTTCTTGGTAATCCGAGTTTTTTGATGCAGCTCTCCGTGATGTAGTGGGTGTTGGATCCACTATCGCTGAGAATGCGGATGGGTTGCAATTTACTGTACCGATCAGGAACGAGGACTCTTGCTATTGCCAGAAGTGTTTCTAAATTCTTGGTCTTCATATCTTGACATGTGGTGGCGAAAACTTGACCATTTGAACCGTTGTGTTGCTTGTCAGGTTTTGCTGTGGCAGTGGCAGTGCCGGACCGGGCGAGGTGGACCGTGTGACTGCTGGTTTCTTGCGATCGGGAGGCGTCAGGGTTCCGTCCGCGATGAAGAAGAGTGTGGTGCTTACCGTTGCAGGTTCTGCACGTCTTTGAGCTTTGGCACTGGGCGCTTGTATGGTTGTCTTTGAGGCAGTTGAAGCAAAGGCTGGCTTTCTTCACCGCTTCGGTTCTTGTACGGACATGGCATTTAGGGTTGGACATTTGAAAACTGGATGGTTTTCCGAACATACTTTGCATGGTGGCGACTGGACGAGATGAGCAAGATTACCACTGGGCTGGCCATTGGGACGTGAAGTCTTCTCATTGTCGTGTCTATGGGTTGCTTGCTTTGACGACTTCTGGGCGTTGGTGGAGCTCGCTGAGAGAGCACGGGCACGCTGCTCGAGAAAGTCGTAAAGTGTTTGGAGGGACGGAATTGCGCTGTCTTTGAGAGACTGCTCCCACAATTCCTTGGAGGCGTAGTCCATCTTCCTTGCGATGATGAACATGAGGTGGGCACCCCAATGGTGCGTTGACAACTTCAAAACATCAAGGGATCGGATGCATTCGCGACTCACATCGAGTAGCTGGCGAATGCCATGGGCTGAGTGTGGCTGAACAAGTGGTTGGTCATGGAATCGCTTCATAATTGAAAAGAAAATCTCACGGTCGTTTTGGTATCGATCTGACAATTGTGTCCATGCAATATCGTAATTGGCGTCGGATATTGTAATGGACTGGACCTGTCGTGCAGCTTCACCTTTTAGTTGCGCTTTGAGATATGTAAGTTTCTGTGATTTGCTTAGACTTGCATTGTTGTGGACTGCATTCGTGAACATATCTCGAAAAGCTATCCACTCGTTGAGGTCACCGTCGAAGGTAGGAAGGGTCAACTTAGGTAGCTGTAGGGTACTTGGAGTTGAAGGTGATGCAGCTGTGGGGATGACAGGAACGGCGAAGGTCTTGAGAACTGTTGCAAACTGGTGCTCCAATTCCAGGGCTCGATCTTTCATTGACATGTATTCTGCTGAGTGAGGATCCATGTCTTTGTGGTCAACAATTGATGCGATTTTCTGAAATAAATCTTCAATCTTCTCTTGACGTTCCACTGTTTTGATGTAGTGTCGAATCTTCGCTTCTGGGGCAGGCGCTGTGACGTGGTCATTGAAACGCTTTTCCAACCAGGTAAGATTAACTTTAACAGTGTCACGGTCACGTTCAACTTTGTCGATGGCTGACGGTGCCATTTTATTACACTAAAACACGATAAGTTCACGAATATCTGGAGAGTATCCGGTACGATGGGACCAAAAAATGTTCGTGAGTGCAACACTATTTAGAACTTTATGCAGGGATGGTAAGATGCACAAGTTGTCGACAAAGTTGAAGTAAATGAGGAGGTGAATTGAGACTTGGTTACTTTCTTAGGTCAGATAATTTACTACGTTTAGAAATACTTATTACATGGAAAATGACCGAATGATACTGAGCGACTGACAAGGTGAACTTGAGTTCGAGGTGTATTTATAAGTTTATGTACGTCACACTTAAATAGTCAGTTAACCAATAGAAATGTAGAGAAGGAACGCAAAGAGAGGAAAATATTTGAACTTTAAAGGACACGACAATGAACTGATAAACGATATTATACATTCAAAAGTCCAGCGACAAACTGGCGACTTGAGACACAATTCTTGTGTAACGTACATATACTGACTTGAGTAAAGAGGAAAAAGGTAAGTTTACATAAAAAGATAGCTAATTATATTAGTCAAATCATGGAATTGAGATTAGTTCAATCATCATAAAGTAAAATGCATAAGAAATCATAAGTTAAAATACATACAAATAATAAGTCAAATTCATAATGCATTAATCATGTTAAGACGAAACATTGGCACTGATAAGATGGTCGTGGCTTTTGTAGGAGAGAATACGTGGAATTTGGTAGTTGTAAAAGAGAGTGATAGATGTGAAGAAGGGCGGTTAGCCTAGTGGTAAAGGTGTCCGTCCGGGAAACGGGAGACGCGGGGTTCGATTCCTCGCACCACTCTTCAAAACATATTTTTGCTCTCTTTCGCGTATTACAACTACCAAAAATCCCACACTTTTTCTCTTTAGGGTTGACATGCACGCGATCTGTGTGGTGTCGGAGTTCTATTTTCTTCCAAAATTTGCTCTCACAGTGCTTACAGTGGTGTGGTTTTGGTACGTTGGAGTGTTTTCGTTTAATATGTTCTGATAAGTATACTCCTGAAAAGTTGCATAGGTGGCAAAACAGCTGTTTCCGGCTTACGTCGTGGTTTATGATTTTGTAGAACGGAACTTGATGCATAAGATTTCTCGCAGGTGGGGCATTTGTAAGGTTTTTCTTGGGTGTGGCTGGTATAGTGGTACTTAAGGCCTTCAGAGCTGCGGTATGTTTTCTTGCAAAGGGTACATCTCCATGGTTTTTCTTGTGTATGGGTGTTCAAATGTTGGGCCAGTTTACACATGCGAGTTGCCTGGATCAGGAATAATAAATATAAGTATGTAAATGGGGCGAAAAATGTGGCCAGACAGGCAGGTTTAAGTTCTCTTCTTAAGTATCGCTACATTTAAGGTTGCTTGGAATTGAATTTGATGTCCCATGCTCAAATATTTAGTTGTATAGGGTATACCAAATCCAATCGCAGGTGCATAGGAAGGAGACTAAATCCTGGAAGTATGACAATGCGGATGGCTTAGGCTACCCTCCGTCTGCCATTTCATATATATTATTGTATTCTGATACCGTAACGGAGCAAAAATAACAGGGCCAGGATTTTCTGGTACGTCCGACCGTGTGCATATTTTTGACGTGAGACACCAGGCCGCAATGGGTGGACGTGGAAAATCCACATTTTTCCACGTTGCAGAAATAGGCAACTTCTCCGGTGTGGATGGTCATGTGGTCCCGCAAAGACGTGTTGTTAGGAAATTTCTTTTGCAAAAGTAGCACAAGTGAAGGCGAACATGTCCGGTCTCGTGATGTCGTAGCTGGCGGAGATTCGGGAAAGTTTTCGGGCATAATTTACACTGAGCTCGGACCTCTAGAGAGGTGTGCGTGTAATCCAAGTGGCGTTTCAGTAATTCCTCGGATTTAAATTTCTTGCTACATTGGGAACACTGGATGTGACCAGGGACGTCAACATGTGTACGCCAGTGGTCTAAAATTTCGGAAATGATGGAATTTAGTACCAAGGTGGTAAATATTGCTTCCCGGATTATGGAACTAAAAAGTTTGGGAATACGTATCTCGACTTACAATGCGACGGTGTGAAGTGTAACCCTCAAATTTGGTTAAAATTTTGAAATTATGTGGTCCATGTCAATACAACCAACGTTTCTTCAGGCAGTTTGTGCGACGGTCAGAATTTGCCAAAATATTTGAGGGAAAAGTTGAAAAACGGGCGATTTTGACTAGGCGGAGAAGGCAAACTCAGCTTAAATACTCTTCCCGTGCTAAAAACGGTTCGTTTTTTAATTCGCCCTCAAATATTTTGACAAATTCTGACCATCGCACTAACTGCCTGTAGAAACGTTGGTTGTATTGACATGGATCACTTAATTTCAAAATTTCAGCCAAATCGGAGGGTTACACTTCACACCATCGCATTGTTAGTGGCCGTTCATAAATTAGGCATGTATGCAAAAATCGCGATTTTCTAGACCCCCTTTAACACGTGTCATATTGGGACGACATCATTGGAGCATTATATTCACCCCCGTCTCGCGTTACACAACTTATGAACGACCCCTAAGTTTTTGAGTTGGCAGTATCTCTGATACATAATGCAAAACTTGAAAATCACACAAGAAAACGAGTCATATATTTTACGCCAAATAGGAAAGTTACCTTTAAATTGTAGCATGTCCCAATCGAGCATAAGTGGCACATGAAACTGCTCCCTTGTTCATGTGCTCGTTGATGGGCTGTAAGTGCACTAAAATTCTACAAAAAAAGTACGTAAAAAATGTAAAATTCGATTTTGGCTGGACTATTAGATATATTTCCAACCTTCAAATTAACATCACAAGTAGAACAGTACGAATGTCGAGTTGCTAGGTGACCAGTTAGCAAGGACTTGGTGTAAAATGCGCATTCGCAAAGGTCACACTTAACCGATTTTTCTTTTATGATTCCTGAATGGTAACGGTCTCCATGATTTCGCAAGGCATATTTTTCCGTGAATGACCTACTACATCCGGAAACTGGGCATTTGAATGGTCTGTCGCCAGTGTGAGTGTAGCTGTGGCGGACAAGTTTTGCCCTGATTTTAAACGAGGCCGTGCACTTGGAGCATGGAAATGGGCGATCGTTCCCTTTACCACGTGGCGATTCCATTCGGCTATGCTGTTAAACAAATTTATGCCAAAATTAGTTACATACGTAAATAAATCAATTATTGCTTAAATTACTTACCAACTAAGTAAATTGAGAGAATATGTGAACTTGCAAAATATCTATGTTGGAGTACTACAATTTTTTACTGACTTTCCCACGTGGAGATTAAGCCTTTGTCTCTAAATAAAGTAGCCGACATGAAAAACTGGCCGTTATTTATTGTTTCCTGCCTGAAAAGGGGTATGGTTTTAAGCATCAGATACATATGTACATACATAAATATCTCGTCACATTGTATGCTGCATTGGGTTGTAAATCCATTTATGTACACACAATTGAACCATATTTACGTTAGATGATACGTGTATATTTAACCAATGAGTATTTATCTTCATATTTAAATATGTACATACATATGTACATATTAAGCGGACAGATAACAAGTAAAAAGTTCCATTCAGTAGAATATAAGACTTGTCAGGTCAAAATGATCAGGACGCATGCTTATTTAACTTGCGAATGTATTTGCATTGCAAATTGGATTAATTTTAACTTTCTGAAGCTAGTTCTATCTATAAATTTGTCGTAATTTTAACTTGCTCGGATGTACGTAATGAAGATCATAATAAAGTTAATGCTTTAAATTAACTCTTTGTACATGTCACGAGTTTCTACATATGCATGTAGTTTTCCATTTGACGCACATACACTCATATACATACATTGCGTCATTACCGAACCTGAGAAAAATATTGGATAGGCCATACGAGTCTAATTGAGTCTTTGGATAATAAGTAAATTGTAATTATTTACTTGGACATTGGATTCTTGAAAATACCCCAAAATTTTAAATATCGTTGTTATGAAGTTGTCCAATTTGTCGCAGGTTGAAAACTGGTTAAACGATAATTCTTGGAAATATACGTTTGCATACTGACAGTCCCGACATGCAAACGTATATTTCAGTTTTCGAATTTTCGCCGCGGTGGCGATTTTAGGCCTTCAACCTGTTCTTGGCGAAAAATTCCTGTGGGCGTCAAAAAAATCGCACACGGTCCGACCAAAGCTCATTTTTCTTCAAAATGCATGTCGTATCCGATAAAAAATACTAGAAAGTTCAAAAAAAATTATCCACGAAGTTTTTTTTTCGACGCCTCAAATTTGTTCACAAAAATAATGGTGACCTTTGACCTTTGTGAGATATTAAAAATCGGCGAGGAGGAAATTGTCCGTATATACTGTTGAGATTTTTATGCGAAGTTTCAAATTTTAAAATTTACGCGATCATGTCGATATAAAAATTATTTCATCGTAGCATTAAATTTGTTACATACTGTACATACATATGTATGTACAATGTACATTTGTATGCAAATATGTATGTACATTGTACATACATATTTGCATACAAATGCACATTGTAGTGTTCCTACATATTATTTATTTACATCGTTCTATTGCAATTGGTTCATTACATATTTTCAAAATGTAGATTACCAAAAATACCATCCTTGATTTTAATCACCGTACGTTGCCTTCGAAATATTCCTTAATTGCTTCGTCGTCAAGTTTATGTGATGCACAAACTTGACATGTTTTTGCAGGCTCTCATCATTTTTTAATACTGCGTCACACTCCGGGCACTTTCGGCCTAAACCGTCCACGTTCACCCGCCCCATGTGCCCTTTAAGGCTCGACCCTGTCTTAAACTTTGTCCCACACGTGACACATTTGAACGGCATCTCCCGCGTGTGATCCAAAAGGTGATCTTTCATCGTGTAAACGTTCGGAAATTTTTTCGCACAAAAGTAACAGCTGTGTGTCCGCTGCTCGTGAACATTTTGCACGTGTGCCTTCACGTGACAACGCATTTTGAACATTCGTCCACAAATTGGACACGGAAAATTTTTAACGTCAGAGTGGACCAGCTTCAGATGGCGGGTTAGTTCCATCTGGGCTCGAAATGCTTTCGAACACTTGCCACATTTATGGGTTACACCGGAATGCCGGATTTTGACGTGGTAGTCAAGCTTGGTCTTGCTGAAGAAGACGTAATGGCACCTTTGACAGGGGTGCTTCTCTCCACGATGCCACTTTTCGACATGGTCCCGCAAAGAGGTGTCATTCCGGAAGGATGCGTCACACTGACGACAGGAATAAAACGATTCACCGGTATGAATTGCAATATGGTCGCGCAGTTTAGTCGCACCTGTGAGAATCTTATGACAAAATTGGCACTGATAATTTGGTCGAGGTTTTTTCACTTTAGGGTTGACATGGATGCTGTTGATGTGGCGTCGGAGTTCATGTTTCTTCCAAAATTTGCTATCACAGTGGTGGCATTGGCATGGTTTTGGTAAATTGGAATGCTTGCGTTTAATATGTTCTGATAAGTATACTCCTGAATAGTTGCATAAGTGGCAAAGCAGCTGTTTCCGGTTTGGGTCGTGGGTTCGTTTATGCGCCTTTAGGACAGAACTCGCTGCATATGAATTCCCACAGATGGAGCATTTCCAAGGTTTCTCTGTCGTGTGACTGGTAATATGGAACTTGAGGCCTTCAGAGCTGTGGTATGGTTTCTTGCAAAGGAGTTTAAGTTTGTACTATAAAGTAGTAAAATAGTAGCACGGGGCACCAAGTCCAATTGTAGATAGTCCTAAAGTAGCGATGCATAAGAACGAGACTAAATCCTGCATGCTTGATCATGGTGGTGGCTACCCTGTGTCTTCTATATTTTACTGTGTTCTGATACCTTTACGGAGCAAAAATAACAGGACCAATATGTTCGGGTAAAACCGACCGTGTGCATATTATTGACGTGAGAGCTAAGGCCGGAATAGGTTGATGTGGAAAATCCACATTGCTCCACGTCGCAGAAATAGGCCACTTCTCTGGTGTGGGTTGTCATGTGATCTCGCAAAGAGGAAATGTTCCCGAAATTCTTTTTACAAAAGTAGCATGCATGTTGGCGTACATGTCCGGTCTCGTGATGCCGTAGCTGCCGGAGATTCGGGAAACTTTTCGGGCATAATTTGCACTGGGCTCGGACCTCTAGCAAAGCGTGCGTGTAACTGAAGTGGGATTGCAGGTTCTTCTCGGATTTAAATTTTTTGCTACATTTGGAACACTGAATGTGGCGAGGGGCGTCGACATGGGTGAGCCAGTGGTCTAAAATATTGAAAATGATGAAATTTAATATTAAATTCGTAAATATTGTTTACCGGACTATTAAAGTATTTAAGTTTGGTAATATCTCTAGTAATTGGCCTATCATAAACTATATAATGCAAAAATCGCGATTTTCTAGACCATAAATTATGGACGGGCCCATTGAACGGTGAGATCTTGAAAATTGCACTGGAAGGTAAATCATATATTTTACGACAAATGGGAAACTTACTTTTAAATTGTAACCCATCGAGTATTCCAATGGAGCATAAATGACACGTAAAACTGCTCCCTTGTTCGTGTGCCCGTTGATGGGCTGTAAGTGCGCTAAAATCCTAGAAAAAAATGTGCCCATCAAAAAACCGTTAACACCGAATTTTTCTGGTCTGCTACAGAAATACGTATCCAACCTTCAAATCAACATCACAACTAGCACAGTACGAATGTCGGGTTGCTAGGTGAGTAGCTAAAGATGACTTCGTATAAAACGCGCATTCGCAAAGGTCGCACTTAACCAATTTTTCTCTTATGATTCCTGAATGGTAACGGTCAGAATGATTTCGCAATTCATATTTCTCTATGAATAATCTGCTACATCCGGAAACCGGGCATTTGAACGGTTTCTTGCCAGTGTGAGTGTACTTGTGGCGATGAAGTTTTGACCGGGTCTTAAACGAGGCTGGGCACTTGGAGCATGGAAATGGGCGATCGTCCCTGTTACCACGTGGCCATTCCATTTGTTATTGAATAAATTTGTGGCAAAATATCTACGCATGCGTAAATCAATCACATTATTTAATCTACTCACTAACAAAATTATTGAGGACCTGTGTTTGCAAAAATATGTTCAAATCTTTCTACTTACTTTCCCAAGTGGAAGGTGAGCCGTGAGCTTTTCTATCTAAATAAATAAAGAAACCGACATCAAAAACCGGCCGTTATTTATGTATTTATTGTTTCCTACCTGAAAAGGGTTATGGTATTTTGAAGTATCACTATCAGGTATGTAAATATCTCGTAACATTGTAGATATACAACATTGGTCTGTAAATCTATTTTTGCACACACCATTTAACCATACATATTTACATACATTGGATGGTATGGAAAACGTGCTTATTTAACAAACGAATATTTATTCATTTATTTACGTACATATGTACATATTAAGCGGACGAGCAACACGTAAAAAGCTCCATTCTGAAGAATATAAAACTACACGACCTGAATACATGCTTAGCTTACGAATATATTTTTGTACATTGCAAATTGCATTAATTATAACTTGGTGAAGCCAGTTCTATCTATTAATTCGTCGTGTAAAATTGTAACAGCCTCGCATGTATATAATGAAGACCAATAAAGTTGTTGGTTTAAATTAACTCTTCGTAAATGTCATGAGTTGGTAAATTCATACATATTTTTCCATTTGACGTATTTGCACTCACACACACTGCGTCATTACCGATCTTGAGAAAATATTGGATACGTGAGTCTAGTTGAGTCTTAGGATGATAAGTAAATCGTATTTGTTTACTTGGACATTGGATCCTGCCAGGCTGGTTGACTCGTTGATTGGATAATCATCACAGATTTTAGGGAATTTATTAAAACTATTAAGTGCAAAAAATGTACAAATCAGTAGTTTAAATTGCGAAAAAAATATTTAGGATTGAAAAAGTTTAAGAATAAGAAATATGTATTAAGGCTAATTTTTCTTTTTAAATTTCGGTGTAACATGCAAGTCGTGAAAATTAACGAAATCCATATACTTTTAAGAAAATAGGACGTAGTTTTTAGGTCGACATTAGTTTACTTTAACTTATTGAATACATTTCTATCAATTTCTCTTAACAATAGATGTGTATAACAAATTGTTCGTTAAAATGACAACCGTAGTATGGAAATTATTACTTATTTTTGCCATATATATGCTACATGTTGGAAATGGAAGTCCTCTTCCTGACGAAAAAATTCCAAGCATGGCTCGCAAAGCTGGTGGGGGTTGGAGAAGAAAAGTAATTCAGGAAAGTACGCAAGCACCGATTTTGACGGCCGAATTGGAGGATCCATCCGCAAACAATGTGGAAATTGGGGTGGTTGATAGTGTATGTAAAATCCATCGTAATAAGTACACTCTAAATAAATTTGTTTAAAATTTACACACTAAAATTGAGGATTACAACAATTGGGGAAGTAAGATATATCCAGTTTTTTGGAAAATTTTACATATCCAACGCTAGACAAATTTTACAAAATTGTTGTTTTTCAATTTTATTTACTTTACCTAGCGTAAATTTTACACAATTTTAATTAGAGTGTACATTTTATAAGAAGTGGTTTTGCATGAAAATTAGCTGATTTTTTTTACTGGCAGGATGAACCTGACTCGAACTACGACGGCGAGGAAACGGATTGCAGACCGTCTGAATTTTGGCACATTCGTGGCAAAGCCTGCGTCCCGTTGAAATGTCGGGCCGGAAGAAATCCGGAAACTCGTGAATGCCTTCAGATTTATGGATCTTTTGGATCCAGTTATTTTAGTGGACGCTACGGACGGAATATGTACGGATTTAGTAGCAAAGGTGGTACACCGTGGCATCGAAGAATCCGGGTACATAAATACGTGATTTAATTTGGTATATATAATTATAGACTGTTACTTTTATTGTTTCCCATTATTATTTCATGTTTGCAGTACCGGAACGGTCGCGTGGTCGGATGAAGGAAAATTTAGACAAAATTGAATCTGGATTAAGTATATCATCTTTTTGCTTAATTTATTGTGTCACAGAAAAAAATTATTTTGTATGACTTACAATACACACTCAAAACAAAACGGTGTCAATATATGACTTAACCGCCTTGGTTACAATTGTGATTCCGAGTAGTAATGAATTTTTTCCGTCCGGTCATAACATTATAACTACCGGTATCAAAATCATCATAACTCGGATTCAACATTGTAACCAAGGCGGTTAAGTCATATATTGACACCGGCGGTGTTGATTCGACAAATTTTTGTTTTGAGTGCATATGTAAATAAATATACGTAAATCATTGCCATAAATAGCTGTCATCGATTGGAAATCTGTTTCCTTCCTTTTGGTTCTCAATTTTCCCATACATATTTAATGGACCATTAATAATGGTTATAATATCAAATTTACATAATTTACCAAAATGCAGGTTTCCACAGCGAGGAGATTTTATTTCGAAATAATTCTTTGCAAAAAAAAGCCTCGAAAAGTTAACGCTTGTCTTGCCAAACTAATTTTTTCTACCCATTATTTCTTTTTAACCGCAATGTACATATACACAGTCGATTTACCGACTGAGTCTGTTCATCCCTGTATCTAAATACATGCACACGTACACAATTGCACAAGTCGTGTGCGGTGAAATTGCATAATTTTTTTTGCATAACACCTTTATCGTATAATGCCATTTTGCATACTTCCCAATTATGCAAACAGCAAGTTCGCATAATGCTATTTAGTATAATTCGTAAATTAGGAAGGAATTATCAAGAGCAAACCCTATTATACCTACATATGTATTAGATGACCCTGAAACTGACCCATAATCGGCTGTGCTTCAAGCATCACAAGTCATACGAACACTTCGGAGATGACATTATCTACCGGGAAGTGCCCGCTTTTGATTCCCTTTGGATGTGTTGAGTACTACATAGATTACTGTACCAAAAATGAAATAGTACTTTACTCCATACCCCAATTTGCGCCCACTACCTACACCCAATTCACAAAAATTCACAAAAAGCGAACCACGAGAAAACCGTTTTTCCCACGTTCATCATCAAAAATTAAATAATTTTCATCAAAAATCTAATTTAAATAAAATACTAGCTTAATGTTGAACATAATAACACAACTATTTACGTAGAATTTGTAAAATCCAAAGAGTACCAAGATCGGATACTGCCCAGTAGACAAGGTCTCTTTCATAGGCGAGCGAGAAAAGGCTACCGGAGGAACAATTAGAGATCCCGTACTATATAGTGGCGATGGGGATCTTTGACCTAAAAATGGTAAAAAAATGATTCTTGATATCTCAAATTTAGGTATAATGTGTCAAATATATCTAACCACGTGTCCTCAAAATTTTATAAGCTTTCCTTGAAAAACAAATTTCGTACGTATCTTCAAAGCGAGGAAGTCGGGAAACGAGTTTTTTATAAGTACCAAAATCTGAGCGACAAAGACTCGAAGAAGGCTTGACTAAATTTCAACGGAGAGAGTTGTGGCCGTGCAAAAATTAGCACATACATAAAAAAGTATGGCGAATCCGAAAATATTAACTTTAAATACGCACCACAAGAAAAAACCATCATATTGACCCCTTGAAAATGAAAAACGATTAAACTTATCTTTGGAAAGCACCGCTTCACGTTTGTGCTTGTGGCGGCCATGAAGTCGAAGATTAATTCAAACTATGCGCATCATATGAAGGCCCATAAGTTGTGGGTCAAAGCGTATTCAAAGAAATCTGCACCAAAGCATACGGAAGGTCAAGATAAAATGGTGAACGCAAGCCCTCCCAAGCTTTACAACAAAATTTCATCAAAACAGTTGGACATTGGCAACGAGTCTTACGTCTTCAAAAACGTGACAGAAACTCCGGGAATGCAATTTTTTGTGGGAAATATATCTCACAACTGAAAACCGAAAAGAAACAAATATGTTCTTCGAAATTTCTCAAGAAATCTAAAGTTTGGCTGGCTTGGGTCAATTTGGGCATGTTTCGGACCCCTCAGTTCAAAAGGGCTGTGTGGAGGCACAGGTTTATTTTCGGAAATGTTAGATAGACCGTCTGATTCCTTTCATTAAGGAGTATCAGAAAATATGAAATGTAATTTTTTGGACCGACCTTGGACCAATCCACAATTCAATGACTATCAAGCAAGAAATCGAAAAAAAAATCAGTTTGACGTTGAAAAATGGAAACCTCACATTCAACCCTTATCTTCAAGCAATAAAAAAGTTTGGGCGATATGTAAGAAGACATACTCCCAGCTTTGCGAAACAGTCGAAACTTTAAGAAAATTTCGATCCAGGTTGGAGATAATTAACATTGAACTTGCAAAGTCTTCCGAAAAAGCAGTAATGGCGGGCGTGATGAAAAAGGCTAAATACGAGATCTACAATGGACTTCGGTCTTCTTTCTTCGCGAATATCTATGGTTGGATATATTTAGGATATCATACCAAAATTTGAGATTTCCAGAATCATTTTTTGACCATTTTTAGGTCAAAGTTTTCCATCGCCACTATATAGTACGGGATCTCTATTTAGGAACTTGTATCATCCCTGAATGCTTAAAAATCATTAAAAACACCTTGGGTACATTTGATTCTATTTACTGGTTCACTGGTCTTTGCATGCATGATTATGACCAATCGTGAATTTTAACCTGTTATGTGAAGTGGAATTATGTAAAAAGCCCTCTTATAGTAAGTGGTAGTTATGCAATAAATTTTATGCCATAAGGGTGTTATGCAAAAGTGTTTTATGCAATTTCACATGGAACCTGCACAAGTATAATAAATGAATGCTGATACCTGTGTATGTACATACACATATATATATGTACCTATACATACATATATGTAGCAACGTATGAATATATTCATTGTCTTCACCCCACGATCATTCTTTTCCTGTAGCAGTAACCATTACCTAATAAGTTTAACTTTTCGATGTAATGAAGTCAATTACATTTAACATTAGAGGTAGATATTAATCGTTGTATAACGAAATAAGTTACATATGTAATTATTTATGTAACAATTTAATTTACTTGTTTCACTGAGAAATTTGTGAGCTTTAGAGATACTCATGCTAAAATCGTATAGGGAAACTTGATTTCTAGGGAAGGAAGTACATATGTATGTACATATGCAGGATTAGAAAATCTGTCATAGAAAAAAAATGTAAAACCTAACACATTTTTTCCGTCCATGGGATTCCCATCAAACCTCAAAGCAATCTACTTATGTATGTACATATTAACATAGTTTACAACAGATTACATAGCTGGTAAAAAATCATGCACAATTATGCACACTCTTAGAAAACTGGTATTAAGTCATTACTGACCGGAGTAAGTATCTACATTGTATGTAGTACAAGCACTTGTTACAAAGGTGTCACCGATTATAAATGTTGTGATAATGAAAAATTTACCACTTACAAACAAATTAATACAAATCCGGTAGGAAGTTATAACTAAATCAATAGCACAACGTATGTGTGTAGTATATACAAAATACATATGTAAATATGTATTTTGCCGGATTTTTAACAGTGCATACTTCTTTCCCAATCATGTAATCTACAAGTAATTTCACAATTTTCTACTTTCCTACAAAGCGAACGACTATGGATCGAGTACACCCAGATACCTTTGACATAAAAAATTTGAGGTCAATCCATCATACATATGCGCCACAGCCAAGCTATGCAAAAAAGTAAATTAAACTACCCATGATAAATATCCATGTATACAGTTTTCCTCGTTTCATTCCTAGTAAAGCACATTGCCCAACTCCCACGATTTCCAGTCTTCCAAAATGTCTCACACAGAAAAGATTCTATCATTAATTTATTTCTACTTCCTCCTACCTGTCTTCACCTTGTACGCGTACATCGTCAAAAATCCCAAAACTCAGAAATATTTCGAATCCAATGGACTCCTTTATCTCGGCGACATCTCTTCCGGCTACGCCACCGATTTTCTTAACGGGATTGGAACCACGGAGATCTGGACGAAGTTGTATAATCGAGTAAAACAGGAGAAGGCTGACTTCGCCGGGGGTGACTTTATTGGACACAACTTCATCATAGCGAGGAAACCATCCTTCATAAAGTCAGTTTTGGTAAAGGACGCCTCCAATTTTGACAGGGTTCATTCATTGCTCAGCTTAAAAGGGGATTACATCGTGTCGAAATCGATGGTCTTCATGCAAGGCGAGGATTGGAAGAAGACCCGGGCAAAATTTGAGAGTGCCTTCACACCGAGTAAAGTCAAGCGGAGTTTTGACCAGGCTAATCAACTAGGAAAGAATTTGGTGGCATATTTGAACCGAGAGTTGGATAACGATTCAGAAAAGGGGATCGATTTCAGAATTGCCGCTCATAAATTTTCTCTTGATTCGGCGGGATCCTCAACGCTGAGCTTGGACACGGCATCCCTTCAAACGCGCGAACCGTCTCGATTTGAACAAATCTCAGCCAAATTTTTTCTTTCATTTGATAACTTCACAAATTGGTGGAAACCCGGCTTAATTCAATTGTTTCCCCGAATTGCGACGTATTTTAAGATTACAGTAATTGATAAGGAAATTGTTCAATTTTACGGGCACATTGCGAAGGAAAATATGAAAAATTCTGGAGGAGATAAAAATTCGAATGATTTCGGTGGTCTCGTCCACTCCACGTGGCAGGAGCTGTACTGGGGTCACGTGGATCGGCCAGATCAAGAAGAGTGGATCACGGCCAATTTGTTTGGCATGCTTTTGCCCGGCTACAAAACGACGCAGACGCTGATGGCGATGGGCGCGTATGTTTTGGCGATACATCAAGACGTCCAAGACAAGTTAAGGGACGAGATAAGCGCTATGATCGAGTCTAACGGGGAGGAATTCAATTTTGCAGCAGTTAATGGAATGACCTATATCGACATGGTGATAAACGGTAATGCATGTTTGCTTATTTTGAGTTTTTTTTATATTTTTGTATCATAAATTGTAAAACACAAAATGCAAGATAAAATCTGTGAAAAGAGATTGGGCAGTTTGCAAGTAAGTACTTTGGTATCACCTACTCATCGGTAATGTCACGGGGCCGGATTCTATACCAATACTTGCATACTATTACACACATACACTAGCGTACCTTCTTCCCAAAATGGTACTGAATCATTACTGATCGGACTATATCTATATATTTATGTATGACTTAACTGGCAAGACAGTAAGGGGAATTACCGTATACAGGGTGGTCCAAGAAGCTGTATAAAAATTAAATCCACCCCACCTTAAAGGCGGTATTACAAAATTCAAATTTGTCGTCAAAATCTGGTAGAGTAACTCAAAAAATTGTTTTGTGATTTTTTTTGTAAACTTATTTTTTAAAATGCGACCAACGTGTTCAGTTGAAGTAGAGGTACCGTACCGTACCGTACCGGCAAGACTGTTCCTGCCGAGGTTACATCGGAAGCGTTACAGAAAACAGCTTTAATTATTTGGTCGTGAAACAAATTTGCAATTAATTAATAAAATATGTGTAGATCCTGGTGGACATATTCAAAGTCATGCCAAGAGCCTAATATCATTAGCACCTTTGAAAAACTACCCATTGCCCAAAGTAGAAAAAAGCTGAAAACTCGGTTAAACAACTTAACCCACCAAGAAAATCCCCAATCCTAATACAACATGGTCGTTCTATTAGAATCCAATAAATTAACTATCTAGAGGCTAACTAAATTTGATTTGGGAAATATTATAAGAAATATCCGTCAGTATCTGATAACCTAACAGGGATGTCTTGATTTTTTTCCGCTTCCTTCTAAAAAATCTCAGCATTGCGCAAAACGGGCAACTGTGATTTTGATCCGGCAGTGGTAAAACATCAAGACATCCCTGTTAGGTTATCAGATACTGACAGATTGGATTATTTCGGATTTTTTATCGTGGAAATGTACTTTTAACATTCGACGATTTGCGGATTTTCATGTGCTTTGGAACGCTTTAAAAAATGACTGCAAGAAATACTCACTAGAAAAGTCCCTGTTTTTTTTGTCTGGTAAAAGCGATGCATTCCTAAAGTTAAGAACAAGGGCCGTCGAACAGCAAGTTTCGCATTAAAAAAGATCCGTTTGTAGGTTAGAGAAATTAAGAAAAATCTATACAGCTTCTTGGACCACCCTTCAGTAGAAATGAAGTACATCCTTGTGATAATGAAAACTTGCCACTCATAAGCAAACTATTACCAGTCCGGAAAATTCAATATGCCTCAATCGTTTTTCAGAAACTTTGAGAATGTACTCGCCCGTGGGATTGTTAGCGCGCACGTGCAAAAAGGAATACGCCGTCCCGGACACTACGCTTGTCTTAAAAGCCGGAGATATCATTGTCATTCCGCTCTACGGTTTACACTATGACGAAGAATACCATCCAAATCCGGAAGTTTTCGATCCGGAAAGATTTTCCGGGGCAAATAAGGACTTTACGTTTCTTCCGTTTAGTCAAGGACCAAGGAATTGTATTGGTAAATTATGCCTTTTTCCAAAAACAGGTTACTGCGCGTTTTTGAATTTTTAAATAAATTTCCGTCGTAACCTATTTTTGAAACAGACGGAATATACTTTTTATGCGCCATATTTTTAGCACGCTGGTGTCATCAAGAGGTGAGTCTGATCAAATTAAAACTCGGCCTGGCTAACTTCTAAACACCGACCGGCCCGAACTATCGGCGGGTTGGGGTATAGCCTGGACCAGGCTATACCCCAACCCGCCGATAGTTCGGGTCAACCAGGCTGCCTGGACCCGCGACCAGACTCATCTCTAGACAAATCCTCTGAATTTGTTTAGATCGACAGTCTAGATATGTACTTGAGCTGATTTATTTTACTGTTCAGGAATCCGAATGGCCATGGTGCAAACAAAAATGATGTTGTGTCATGTTCTCAGAAACTTTAAGCTCACCCCATCTCCAGAAACTCACAATCCCATGAAGTTCATTAAATCTGCATTTCCAGTCATGGATTCGGAAGAGGTGGTCGTGTGCTGCGCTAAAATTGAGTGAACAGTTACTTACGATTGTATTGAAGGTCCAAGAAACAGAAAATGTGTGCAAAAACATTATGTCAATATGTTACTAGATAATTTCAAAAAGTAAATAAATGCAGATAATTGAAGATAATTTTACCATCATGACATACTACAACAAAAAGGTTGCTAGAAACAATTGGATTTATTAAACGGTGTGATTTAAAATTTCAAATGAAAATGTTTGTCTAAATTTATGGAAATCGAGTTCAGTAAAATTTATCATTTTGAGACTCTTAAGTATTCACGACGTGGATTTTGAGGGCAATAAAAAAAATTAACCAGACTTGATGAGTTTTTTTAAGTATACCCTTCTGCACCTATGTATTAATATGCAACTAGTACACTCTACACTCTAAGAAACCCTGTAATAAAGTTATTACCAGGCGAAGTTTCTATGTGACTCTACCGCATGGTAATTAATTGATTGTTGAGTAGTAGAAAATTAGTTATTAACTGGTAATGTTTTCAAATTTCGCGTCCGGGGTTATTACCGGTTTGGTAACAAAATGTCTACCGCTCAATAATAAATAAATTACCATGCGGTAGAGTCACGTAGATACTCCGCCTGGTAATAACTTTGTTACCGGGTTTCTTGGAGTGTATGGTTAGCTATAAAGCGTGCACATACCCATCTGCAGCTAATGTCGCTTATGTACATACATACATATGTATTTGTATCTACCTATTTCCAACTTGTTTTTAGTACTTTTGGGTAAGTTAGCTCTTCATTCAAGTTGGATTTATGTATGTACCTGTAAAAACTGTATTTAATAGTAAGAATTAAACTTATCTGTATTTGTAAGTCTTGGTCGCATTAGCGAATTTAAATTGTGGTATTACCAAATCGATTTAGGTATGTAAATTAGGGTTGCCGCGGGTAGCGAAAATGCTACCCGTTACCCGACCCGCTACCCGCAGCACAACTACCCGTACCCGCACGGGTACCCGTGCGGGTACCCGTTACCCGCTACCCGTTATGAGAATTAGGTTAAAAACTAACCAAACTTCAGAATAAATATGATTTGATCAATTATTTGTTCATTTGGGTTGATATGTACTTTAAGATAATGCTATGCAAGTAACGCATGCTATAATTTGCTCGTAAATATCACTCGTTATTTTTGAAACCAACAATTTTGGCTTGCATTGAATCGTTTTTCAAGCTAAACCGATTTATGCACATATATCAAAAAATTGAGCCAAAAAATAGGAATTACATGACACTTATTTTTCCGTTGAATGACCCGTTTAATGGAAACTATTGGGATGGGATAGAGAGTTCAAAGTCCACCATGGTATTTGTTTAATGGAGGAAAAAATACGGAACATTTACTTGAAAATTAAACTTTGCCGCCGATATTTTTCTTCGAAGGGGCCGTTCAACGGAAAGATAAGTATCACGCGATTCCTAATTTGTGGCCTGAATTTTTTATATACTCGCTGGGCAATCTTGGTATGGCTCGAACATGTTAAAATCTCGTCAGCCTTACATACATAAATACACACAAATACAAGTCAAATTATTACTATATTTAGAGCAGGCAAACTATGCTTGAGAAACAATAATTGCTCCGCAGTTTCTGGACGTCAAATATATTTGAGGCTAGCATAGGCTTCCGTGGCTTCCGAAAAGAGACTCCGGCTATAAACGTTTGTTGCTGACAAATGACAAATTTTGAAATGGAAAAATAATAAATTGACGCTTTTGTTGGTAAATGGACTAACTAGCTGCTAACTTGCTTTGTGAACTGAGTTTTGACGAAAATTAAATAAAAACTGAACTACCCGTTACCCGTGCGGGTAGTTCTCGCTACCCGCAGATAACGGGTACCCGCAAGAATCGTGCGGGTATGCGGGTAACGGGTACCCGACCCGTTACCCGCGGCAACCCTAATGTAAATAAATAAAATTTGGGTCCCATGAAATATATTTTTCAGTTGAAAATTGTATATAACTGTTCTAGCACCTACTTCTAGCATTTTGTACCAAAGGGATCGTATTGTGAAGTTAAAAGTAAAGTATAGCGCATAGAATATACATATGATGTACATATTTATGTAACTAAACCCTATTTTAAATATTGATCAAAAACGCTGCGGAACTTGGCTATTCAAAATAATTACGGAATCACCCTCATTGACTCTCCATAATTCCCCCAGAGCAGAAAGACCGATCAATCATGTGATATCAAACTTAATTACCATTTATTTCACAATTCGTTAAGCTTCACAAAATTTACTTTTAAACTGCTCCTTATTAGTTCGTCTGGTATTTACGGTAATTATACAGCAAACCCAATGCTCTTTTGAGTATTCACGTATATATATATGAAAAAATGAATTTTCCTAATAGTGCGGCGTAATTTAGCCTTCATCGAAATTTGTTAGTACATTCGCCTTAGTAAAACCCTGAAGAAGCTTTGTGATAAAATTTTTAAAAAATACTTTTTTACTTTTTCTCCAATTTTTCCCAAAATCTCGACTTGAAATGTATTCCGACTTATTTTTCAATCAGATCCACCTCATGGTGAAAGCTTGCAGCACCGTGGGCAGTTTCAGCGCCCATTTCGACACAAAAGGAAGATTTTTTTATTCGACGGAGAAATCAAGGAGAAAATTTCACATTACGATCGTCATCATGTCCGGATACGTGGCGTTTCTTTGGATTCAGACGTACAAAGTGTGGGTGTACCACGGCGGTGAGAAAAACTTACATTTCCACACCGCCTATGGATTCAGTGGTATCTTGTTTATGTGTGTGGGGATATTGGTGAGCCTTTTGCAGAACCATGACAACGTAATCAATGGAACGAACCACATTTTGAATTACTTTCCATATTTTCGGAGTAAGTATTTAGTGGATTTAATCAGCCTACTAGGGAGCATACCGAAGTGTCTCTGTACTCTTAGAAATCTATTGTTAAAATAATATCAAACGGGATTCATGTGACTTTACTAACACGGTATTGATAACTAATGTCATGTAGTAATAGGTCGGTATTAAACTTTTACCATATCGATAGTAAATTTTTTACGGACCAGTATAGTTGTAATACCAAGCGGTAGCAACTTTAATACTGAGAAATCAATGTCTGCCTAACAAAACCAGATTTATAACAGTGCAGTTTCGACTTTTTAGTATGGCAAATGAAAGAACACCTCGGTACTGTCCCTAGTGACAATATACTTCATTCTATAAGAACAGTGGCGTATTTTTTTAAATATATAGAAAGTTGGATACCATATTCGAAAACGATTCAGAAATATTCGAGATTGTTGGATATCATGGTTTTTGTAGAAGTTAGTGGAACGCTAATTTGTCCCATCTCCTCGACCATTTTCTTCGTCTACTCTCCGGACAATCCGATCCATCCGCGATATGGTATTCCAAACGTGTATGGATTACAGGATAACTTGGTCATGATTGGGATATCTCTCATTTTTGTAACGTGGTCGGCGTGTGTTTGTTGGTATGCCCTCATGTTGTTCATCGTGTTTGGGACGACATATCTGAGTAAGTTTTTTTTTAATTTCCTTCCAGATAGCCATGAAATATTTAAGTTGAATAGTTTAAAATACTGTACTACAGTATGTAAAAGTGTCCATGTAACTAATTTACTGTGGCGTCACTTTAATGTTCGCCACTTTGGTTACAATTTGTCGCCAAACTGTAGCAATAATTCCTTCGAAGTTCTAAGCTGTTTATGATATCCATAAATTTTGTCACTGGAACGTACTATGTAAATATTTTAAGACTATGAAATTTCTGCATAGTTCCAATCCTGCTTGTGCTGCGGGAATTCAATATGAATGCACTGACGCATTTGGCAATCCCCTCGTTGCGGGAGGCAGATCACATGGCCAGAGAATTTACAACGGCGCGCCTCCTTCACAAGGAAATGATGCAGAGTGTGGGCCTAGTTTTGGGCTTTATTCATGGAATCGTGTCTCATCTTTGTCTATTCTGTAATTTTGCGGTGCTAAAAAATTGGCATACCATGGACACATCTGCAACGGTGAGGACTCAAAATCATAACATAAGTTCACATTCAGTTGATCAATAGAGAATGAATAAATAAATTATTCATTCATAATTCAAGTTAATGAATAATGAGCAAATAATTTCCTCAAAAATCTTGAATGAATGAATAATGAATAAATATTTATTCATTTTATTTCCATGAAGGACGAAAGAATAATTTTTATTCATTTTTCTCATATGCTTAATACATGGGGTATATTGTGAAATCTAGCTAATAAGACGAATTTGGTATAAAATGAATAAATACTGAATAATGAATGAATATTTGTGTTCAAATTTTAAATAATGAATGAATATTTTTCCCTTATTGAGAAATTCCATGAGTTTTGAGTGAAGAAATATTTGTGGAATTTTTTGAGATATTCCCGTAATTGATGTGAAATTATGATTTGAGTAAAATTAATGTTTTGCGCAGATGCTGTTGACGGTATGGTCCATCGTGATGCAGGTAGTATGGACAGTTGTGCTCGAAGTGGCGGGAAGATTTCATAAATATTCAATCAAGACGATCAAATCGTGGAAGACGTTGCCCTTCAAGAATAAAACGGAAGCGAAATTCTTTGCAAAATATAGGAAATCTCAGAAACCATTGATAATCGGGAAAGAAGGGGTTCTCACGTTTAGGAGGATCAGTGTCCTTAAATTCTTAATGGCTGTGATCAAAGGGACCTTTCGTGCCCTGTTAACATTGGGGAAAACGAAGGGATAATTGTATCGGCTTATTTTTTTAATTTAAGAAGTATATATATAGATATTCTAAAGAAGAAAAAAACTGAATTAATTTTAAATGCATATGTAATCACCTGCTTGTTCTACACATGTATAACAAGCATAAATATGTTCTACATTACACACATTACATAAGCATACATATGTTCTACATGCATTATGTAATTAATAAATACAGGTAATACCAGAAATAATATTTATTATCATTTTTCCACATACTTCCCTAGTAGCACAATATCGAGAATTACTCGTGTAAAACACAGGTTTCGAGCCCCAAAAACTCGGGGAATACACGTCATGTTTTGGGTGTCCGATTGGTGGAAATTTGGGGAGAAGTGTCGCCAATTCCAACGTGTACAACACGTGTCAAACTCGTGTTTTTTTAAGGTATTTCTCGAAAAAATCACGAGTGTGCCTCTACATATTTCCGTAATTATCTCGTGTTAATTCTACTTCATAACTCCAAATAAGCACCAATTTGAAATTTGTTTTGAAATTTAATTTATTTCAAAT